ATCCGATTATAGCTAGAAATATCTACCTGTAAGTTTCCAATTCAGCCTTTAGGTTTGCACACCAATTTAATTTGTTGGCTTGTTTGGCTTTAGTTCCTACAAGAACAAGACCGGAAAAATGAGACCCATGTGGGAAATGCTGCGACCATTTTTCGCTTTCGTCTGGCTTTTTGTGATCACTGTCGTCTGGTCGTTCTTTTCTCGAAATGATGTGATCAATAAGGAGCCACGAATTTTATGGATACTCTATGGCACGATATTTTCAAATATTGCAGTATGTACTAAAGTGCTTATCGCAATTGGTTCAAAAGCAATAAATCTCCTAAATTCTTTTTTACAGTGCCGTCTGATAGTGGCCCAAATGTCGGACACGCGATGCGATGCCTTCAATGTGCTGATGTGGCCACTGGCCGCCACAGTGGGTGTTTGTTGTTTTCCGTACTACCAGCAGGTCTTCGACACAGATCTTACGTCGGACATCGAGCGATGGATACTCTATGGGCTTACCATTTTCTCAACTCTAGCTCACTGGCACTACGGCTACGGCGTGGTAAGATACCCTGTCATTAAATATATATATAGTTTTTGGTTCTCACAAATGGACTATTTTAGGTTTCTGAGATGTGCGACCACTTTCACATTCGCTGCTTCAAAGTAAGAAAATCTAGCAGCCAATCGGGTTCAAATATAACTCAACCACTTCTGCAGAACAATAACAAAATCAAACCGTTGAAAAGCCATTGAAACTAAATCGCTCACTAACAAAAATCACATCAAAAACCGGGGACAACCAAAATCAACCATCTTGTGATATATAGTATATATATATATATAAATGGGTTCCAAACATTTAGCCCTCGCCTAATGTCTAGGTTCTAAGTGGTCCATACTCAAATCAAAACACTAAACCGATACTCGCCATACGCGGTTTCTAATGTGGTAAAGTCCATACGAAGATATTATGTAATCCAAATCCTAATCATAGGCTAAGAACTTATTATACGATAAACCTAGGCTAAATGCATGAGAGTTATCGTCAGAGACGATTTTAACCAGCATGTTGATATATAGCAGCCCTAACTGCATGATCCGATAAGTATTATGTGCCTGAAGACAGCTACTGAATGAAGTTGTACGCCCACGATATTGCAAAGGCTATGTTCACTGTACCGCCCATCGTATTGTAATTTTCTGTAGATCACGAAACAGACTGTCACCGCTGAGGAAGAGCTGCAGGATGTTGTTGCAGACGCCAACCCTACAGAAAACGCCGAAGAAGTCTAGCTTTCGCCGGTTCTTCTGCAATTGTGTTGTGTTTAAACTTTAAATCGTTACCTAGTTCAGTTAAGAAAAATCGAAAGTGTGTTTAGGCTAAGCTCGAAATTGAAACGAAAATATAATTGTTAGTGCTAAAAGAAAGTTAAATAAATTAAACTTGATCGTTCTCAGATCGAACTTGCTAGGTAATTTCAATTACAGCTTTACCAATTTTGTAAACATGAAATAATTGTGTTTTTATCACATTGATTTAAATATAACTTTTCCCCGACAGATAAGCCTGAGCTTCTTTAATATTAGCTTAATTTTTATTTAGAGTGCAAACGCATTGAATATATGAAAATAATTTAGAGATATCTCATTATCTTACATTATAAACATAGCGCGCGTCTTGGAGATTTCCCGATCCCCTAGTTCAGCAACAGCTGGGCAACAATACTGTTGTCATCCGCCGGATTGGCGGAATGGAGACCAGATCCGCTTTCGAGGAACTCGCGCAACTCGTTCTCCAGATCTCCACCGCCATGCTGTTCATCAGTCTCGTCGATCTCCATGGCCACAGGTTGCAACTGTGGCAGGGCCACCGGCTGTTGGAGCAGCTCAGGCAGCTGGACGCGGGGAGAAACGGGTCGAGGTGGCGGCAAACCAGCTAAACAGAGTAAAGTTATTAATATAAAAGCAAATTAACATTATTTTTATATGGACTTACCATAGGACATGCCCATGGCTTTTCGCAAGGCATAGGGATCGGCGATGGCGGAAGGAGGCAACTTCTTTGCCAGATCGCTGATCTGCTGCGTTAATTGCTGGGCGGTTTGGGCTTCCTCCTGACTGGCGGGCTGTACGAGTCCCAGGTGGTTCGGCAAAGGCTGTGATAAACGATCGTGCTGGGTCACTCGCAGTTTCTCGATTAACGTTAAGTTTTGACTAAGATGCTCGTGCATGCGCCGATTGAGCTCGAAGCTCTTCATTTCAGCCTCCATGCCGTCTAGGAAGCTCACATCGATGCCAAGTTCACCAAGAGATTGCAATCCCTTGAAGTCCACAGGGGTGTTTTTGTATTTTTCATATTCTTGCTCGATTTGGGCGGTGGTTTCCTGCTGGATGGGAGTTTCCTCCTCCTGTTCAAAGCACTTTTCAATCTCACGATGCTCGTATGAATGAAGCTGCATGTTGTATAGTTCATCCAGGGATTTGCTGTGCTCTCCATTGGTGAGGATATCCAGCAGACCATTTGCAATGGTGGTCCCATAGCTAGAGTCTTTGGTGAACTGTAAGATGCTCTCTGCATATTCAGCACTGGACGCATCTCCATACGTACGCAAAACCAATTGCGTTTCTTCGGCACTCAGAGTGGAAAAGCGGGAATCGAAGGTGGGTGCAAAGCTGGCAAACGCTCCGTAGTTTAAGGGTTTCACTGTCCTCATGGCATTCCTTTTGTCAACCTGTCGCGTCTGTAGCTGTGTGCTTCCCGTTTGCAGCTTGCCAACTAGATCACCAATGGTTACTACCCTTTCAGGACCCTCGTTATCCTCTTTGATCAACAGATTCAGGGTGGTACTGCCATCCTTCGTTTGACGCAGGAAACCCATCTTGTGGGCATTTTTCTTGGCATTCACCCTTTGTTTGGCCTGTTGGGCAGCATTTTGAACTTGGGCCAGGATCTCTTCGCCCGTTAAATCGTCTACATAAGGCTCGAAATGTGTTTTTGGTGCATTCTCCAAACGAAGTGCCCGCTTGCGCTCTTCCTCCTCCAGCTGAGCAGGAGTTGGCGGCTCTTCCGCTCCCGTTGAAGCTCCTTCGTCCGCCGAATCGTGATTTTCCCTTGACATATCGTTCGAACTCAACTCAAAGCCAAGTTCTTTGGCTGTAAGCTCCCTCATGTAACCTGACAGTGGTTTCAGGCTTCTCATCAAATTCTCAGGTTGCAGATGTTTCATGCCAACTTGGAGTAGACGCTTAGCTGCCTTATTATATACCGTATCCACGTGGTTGTACTTGATGGCATTTTCACACATGAGCTTAAAGTCATCAGTGAACTCGGTCAAAGCGGTATACTCGTGATCGTCAATCTTCTGTCGCATAGTGGAGAAGTCCATGGGTTTGCTAATTATTGAAGAGTAACCGGGTGCCATGTCATCAGTCACCGGCCATGCAAAAAACTGGTGGGGATCCCGCTTCTCCAGGAAGCGCAACAGGTGCTCCAGAAGTTTGTTTAACGGCGATTTTTGCTGCTTCAGTTTGAGCACACAGCTTCGGGGCTCTCTACCCGACTCACTGGAACTACTGGGGGTCTTTGGTGCCTCGAGAGCCTTGGGTGTAAGGGCATTTAGTGAGTTGGCTCCTCCTGGCGTTGACGGTGAAGGTATTAATAGCTAAAACGCATTGGATACAGTATTAATATGAACTCGCCACGATATGGTAAAGTAACTTACGTCGGGCAGTGGCTTGGTGGGACTGCTGCCTACCAGTCCCAGGGAAGAGGATTGCAGCGACGAGGAGTTGGGCGAAGAACCCATCAGAATCTCGTCCAGCTTGCGCGGAGCTATTGGCTTTGTCACAGGACAGTTTGATGGCGAGTTATCCGTGGTGATGCCTGCAAAGAATAAAATGTTCTCTGGCAGCGGTTGTGACTGGTCATCGTCCATAAAACTGAAGCCGTCTTGGCTGGAATCGGGATCGGCGGCCGGTGGAGCTACCGATGATGGAGCGAATCCACTGCAAGCGGCATCGTCAGCGCCGACCATCATATCTTCGTCCGATCCTGCGTCCCGATGGCGATCTCTACTCCTGTGTCGCTTCTCCTTGTGGTGTTTGTGCTTCTTCTCCCTATCCTTCTTCTTCTTCTTTTTCTTTGACTTTTTGTGGCGCTCGCGATGGCCCTGGTGATCCTGAAGCTCCTCGGGGACTGGCGACATCATGGCCTCGGCTGCTGTGGGCGGTCCTCCGTCCACCATTGGCGAATTGGCACTGTACTCCGGCGTGGCATTCGAGCCCACCTTAAGGATAAGCTTTAGACCTCGTTGCAGCTGAGTCGGGTCCTGGTGCTGACTGTATTCTATATAATATAGCAAAAATCCAGGTTATATTAAGTATATAACGAGTGAGCGGTGCTGCATGGCATTTACATTTTGTGTTCTTATTTCATAAGCATTATATAAGTGAAGGATTAAATTAATTTGATTTATTAAATTTCGACAAAACTTTTCAGTTTTTAACAACACATTTTTTTTCAATTGTAACAAATGAAAAGTATTGTTTACCAATTTTTCAAAGTGTAAGCATGCTCAACAACAAGCGGCAAAATGTAGAGCGAGATGGCCTATGGCAGCAGGGGCTCACGTAGGCACAGCACTTTCATTTCACTCACCTTCATATTTCTCGCGTCGCTCCGACTTGTTTTTCTTGTGCTTCTTGGAGGAGCCCATCTTAGGCTCCAGGTGTCGGAAAATTAGGTAAATCGGTGAAATTTGTAAGCAAAATAATGAAAAACAAAAATCCGGTGGCGAAAAACAGACGCCATGAGCAGTGTGACCGTGCAATTTTTCCACAGAATTCTGAAACGCCTCGCTGACATCAGCGAGATACTTTTCAACACTGATAATAACAATCGATAAGCTATCGGTCTTTTCGGTACAGAATTCAAAACATAAAATCGGTATTACATTTTTTTCTTAATTTATATTGTAAAATATGCTAAAGATTATATCAAATCGGCTAGGTGTGATACATTTTGTCTACTTGCTTTTATTTTGAAAGCAGAAGAATACTTTTAGAGAAACAATTATTGCCTTAGTTTAACCTTTACATATTATTTTGCGGAACTTTAAATGTATTATTTTTCTTATTTTTCTTCGTAGTTCACCGAACCCTTCGCTTGAGGATGGGCGCCTTGTTGGCCAGCACACTTTGCCGGCTCATCGGGATGGCAACGGTCCGCACCTTTCGCTTTCCCCCAGAGCGGCGATGGGTGGAGGTCACCAAGTTTTGCGTGTTCTTCGGCAGGACGGTCGCCCTTCTGAGACTCGCCTTGTTGGCGGAATTGAAGAGGGTGCGCGTGGAGTTCAGGCTCTGCAGGGAGGTGTCCAGCCTGGTGCGAATCTTGTCCAGATCGGCACGCATTCGCTGGATGTCCATCGCTATGGTGTGACGATCGGTTTGCAGCTTCTTGTGCTGCTGCAACATGGTCTCCAGCACTTTCTTCTGTTGGATGACCTCTCGCAAGCGGTTGTTCTGTTCAAGACCCCTCGATCCCTTCGGTTTCTGGTTGATGCTGGCCTTGATCGTAGCCAATGATTTGTGGTTCATTTGTGCGGCGAACCCATGGGCACTGTTCGCCTTTGAGGAGTTGGCGCCACCCCTTATGCGCCCCGATTTGTTACGTCTCGGAGGCTTGGGCACCAATTTCGATGGGACTGGTATGGGACTCGAATTCCCAGCTGGGACCAACGGCTCCGTTGGTCGAGGCTTTCTTGGTGTTCGAACCGCTGGAAAAAAGAAACAGGAATAAAATGGTTTGCTGGATTTAATGGATAAAATGGTCCCAGCCAAAAGCTTACACTTCATGGTCGAGTGAATATTTGCCACCATATTGTCGTAGGTCTTTCTGGTGTCGGGCAACAAGAAACGTCCGGGCAACTGGCTTGATCTTAGCGAGGCCTTGATCCTCTCCCTCCTGGACAGCTGCGACAGCCTGGTCTTGGCACTCTCCTCCTGTTCCCAGTCCCTTCGCAGCTGGGTAGTCAGGATGTGGTGCAAGGCCAGTCGATTGGTCATGGTCACGCTCTTGGCCTAGATGGTAAGCTGCTGATTTTGAATTTAGATTGCGAATTTTGAGTGCCAAAATGGTCGAAAATTTGGAATTTGTTGTTTTTTTTAAGAACAATGCCTCATTTTAGGGTTGTACAAATAGTTTTGACAAAGTTTGGATTTATTCAGCTAAGGCAGGGTTGATCTCAAAAATAGTTTCCCCTTACTTTTTATTAGTTTATCATCATTTATAACATAATATATATAACTTCGCCGTATGCGATTATGAATTGGCTAAATTGGCTTAGATTGAGTCTTACTACATCAGAGATCGGTCTAGAGATGACTGTTGAGGTGCTTCCGGGCCAACTGGGCATAGATGGTGCCATGTGGCTTGTCCACTGGGATGAAAACTTCGTTATTATCGCCCGGAGCAATTTTCTGGAAGGGCTTCGTATCGAAGTTGAAGTAGTGCTTGTTCGGCATGGTCATCGAAATGACCGACACCTGCGGCAGGACATCCAGGACCTGTCGTTCACTGAGATACAGGGTGTGTTGCACGGAGGGCGAGGACACGCCCACCTGCGGATCGCCAGCGAAGTTACGAATGATTATATTCTTGACCGTCTGCCAGGCCCTCAGGAAGTCCAAGTTGTCGGTGTCGGAGTACTCCCAGGAGCAATCCACCACGGTGCTAAAGATGCGATCATACTGATCTGGCAGAGATCTGAACTCGTCATTCACGAAGTTCACAAACGAGGATTGGGTCGTCTTCAGCACTCGCAGGCCTTTGATGCCCGTGATGACCGTTTGTTTGGGATCTGAAAAATGAAGAGGGTGATTATTGAGAACTTTTCAAATATTATTGTTAAGCTTTTGTATAACTAATGACCCACCTGTTCTCCTCAAAACCACATCGCAGTAGTGAAAGGCGGTGGGAGTGAAAATAAAAGCGTGATTGTGCAGCGATCTGTTGTCAACGGAGCTGAAGTCGCAGTTTCCTTGGACTCCGTTCTCACACTTTCCATTGAGGGTGGTCCTGGTCTCCTCCTGGCATACTCGCTGCCAGGGATAGGCCTCCACATGGACGTGCGCCTCCTCCACGTGCGAGTACTTGTTGATGAAGTGCCTGGCCAGGAGCAGGGCAAACTTCTCGGGACTCTCGATGCCGTGCTTTTTGGCCAGCAGATAGACGGTGTTCTTCTGCGAATCGGTGGCCACGATGTCCGAGTTGTTGCCCTGGTAGTAATCCTTCTTGCTGTACAGCTTCAGGTGAGTGCCCACCTCGAACTCCTGGATGGTGTGCACAGGTCCCTTGCGACTGACATGCAGAACCTTGACCGCATCCTTGCCGTATCCGTGATCGGTAATCTCGTACTGATACGGTTTCCCATGTTCTTCCATGCCAGGGGAACTCTTTGGCCTCTGGTTGGCCGCAGCTGGCTGTCTGAGGGGCGTGGCAAACATTCTGGCTGCAAACTCTCTCACTGCCTGACTGATGGTCCCATCAATTTCCCTGCCGCTTTTTATATCAGCACACCTGGCGAACATCGCGAATCTTTGTGTAGTTATGGATTTCGTTAGCGGCTTTCGTAGAAAGCAAGTGGCTGGGGAATCGTATATCATCACTCTCACTTGGAGAACTAAGGGTCTTACTAAAATTATGACTAGATGAGCAGATAATCAGGGCCTAGTGCCAAGTAAACATGACCAAGACTCAAGGCTATATGTCTTCCTCCTCTAGATTTTTTATCTTGTTTACCTAACACTCTTCTAACCAAATCCTTTTTTTGTGCAATATTACGTAAGAGATAACTCGCTCGCTCCGTTTTAGCCATAAAAGAATATGTGCATCTCTTGTGGCGAAAACAGGATTATTTTTTATAAAAAGATATTTGTAAAAGATAAAGGGTTCAAATGGGTAAACTAGAAAAATTTGCTTAAATTGTACAGACCACTTCTAAATTATTTCCTTTATTAGATCGCAAAGATAGAGTAAGTTGTTAGTAAAATTCGTATTTACGCTCAAGATAACTATAATCAAGCACGAGTCACCATTGTTATTATAGTTAAGATAGTGTATGTTGAAAAGATACAATTAATATTTCACAATATTGAAAAATCATATTTATTTCACCGTAGTAAAATGAATAAACGTTTTAAATTTAAATCTTACATTTTACTTGACAGACTATAAAGTAATAGGGATATAAATACGTTAGTCAATTAACTCTTAAGAGACCTTTCAAAATATGTACAAAAATCGATTAAAATTGTGTGTATTTTAAACGTTAATGAAGCTTTTTAAGCAATACCTAAAAATTAATATTGAAGCTAATTGCAGCCCAGAACGAAATACTTAACTTGCATTTCTGGAATAATCTGATTCGGCGAGGGATCCTGTTCAGAAATATATATGTATATACTTTATAGGATCAGAAATGCTTCACTACCTGTTACATACTTATCAACTAGTATCAAATCTAGTGTACCCTTTTACTCAGGAAACTAGTAAAGGATATTAGTGACCCAGAGTTTAATCCTTTCCTTATAAGCCTAAACCTTCTTGTAAACCAATTCTAAGAAACTGCAACTTACATTTTTATTGTGTCGTGGATGAAATGATGTGTGAGCCAATATCAATATCTGATCATTTATCAACCTAGCAATAAAGTATAGTTCTTTATATACGCATAAACAGTAAAAACCAATAAACAGTAAAAGCCAATGCACATAAGAGACCAACTTTTATTACAGTAGTTAATCTTGAAACAGTAATTTGTATCGTGTTTTATTAACACAGGGATTTAAACATACCACTTCAGCTTAGTTTTATTATATAGAGATAAAAAAGTGGGATGTTCTGTGCGACTCTTTTGGTTAATCTACTCACCAAAAACAAAACTCGGGGAGCAGATATTTTGAAAGATATCTGGGCGTATTTCCAAGAGCTATATATTTGCTTGACACGGTTTTTGGGAGCGTGCCTTGTATGCCCAAAGATCTCCCACGATCCGAAATGTTGTATATCTTTGTTGGCAAGTTATGTAAGTTCCGTTTGTGGTTATTGGCTTAAGATAAACTCTGGGTTGGAAATGAGGTGTCATTATTTGTTAAGCGAGAGTTAATTCCAGCCCAGTTATATGTTTAGAAACCTTTTGATTTCACGGGTGAATTGAAAAACGGGAAACACTTGGCATGGATAATTATGTTTACTTTTCCATAAGTTAAAGTTATTGTGGCATAAAGCTAATTTATGCCTTATAGCATTCTACTGATGTGATAAGCTATATGATCTTGATGATGGCGTCTCATAAACGCGTGGAGAACACCTGCCACATGAATCATATCCAAAGATGTACCGCCTGGAATTTAATCTAATGGATTGGTAGTTTTATGAAGCTTTTGGCACCTCGACAACTTGTTGTCCGCCAGAAAGTTTTGCGTGTGGTTCAGTGAACTAAAGTGCGACCTATGAATGAGAGTTTTGGACAAGTGAACGCTTTTGTTGTCGACTCCACAAACAAAAGTGCAAATTGTTTTCCAGCGAAACCTGCGACGCACCCATGTAAAATATTATTTTTCGGCCTGCAGACATCGGTGTCGAGTGAACCGCAACGAGTTAGTTGCGTTTTTGAGCGCGTTACCAGCGGACGAACAGCGAAATGGAGCTGCCAGTTGTCCTTCTTTTGGTGCTGGGTGTCATCCCACTTGGAGCCCATGGCGCTGTACACGATGAGCTGCCCCAGTGCGGCCTACATGGTGTCTACAGGCAGCGCCAGAGTCTCGTCGAATCGCCCAACTACCCAGACAACTATCCGGTGAACACCTGCTGGGATTATGTGGTGCGGTCTCCCTACCGCTGCCCCACCAAGTTCCACATACAGTTCCTGGACTTCAAGCTGGAGCTGTCGGAGAACTGCAGTCGGGATTACTTGGCCATCGGCCTGAACAACGACGGCGACGACATGGACGTCTTGTGCGGCCAGGTGCTGGGTATCAAGAAGTACCACACCCCCGATGGAGTCCTGCGTCTGCGCTTCCTTAGCGATGATTCGCCTTGGACGACGAACGGTGGCTTCCGCCTGCTCATCACGCGCTTGGCCTGCGAACGGGAGGACTTGGTGGCCAGAGGACTGGACGATGACGAGGAGGACGTCGATGGCGACACGGTGCAGGTGAGCGCCAAGTCGCCGCCCAAGAAGCTGCTCACCCAGCACCACCATCACCACCTGCCACAGCAAAGCCCCCAGCAGCAACTGGAGCCAGCGTTCAACTATACGCAACCAAATCGGTTGGGGTTCAACTTGGGTTTGCAACCAGGTTTTGGTTATCCTGCTGGATTATACCCACCGCCTGGGGGATTACCTCCCCAGTACTCACCGCCTTGTGCTCCCCAGCAGCAGCAGCAGCAGCAGCAACTTTTGCAACAGCAGCAGGAGCAGCAACGATTCCTGCAGCAACAGCAGCTACAACAGCAGCTCCTGCATCAACAGCGACTGCAACAGCAGGCTTTGCAGCAGCAGCAGCTGCAGCAACAAGTGCAACTGCAGCGCCCACTGCAGCCTCAGCTTCCCCAGCAGCAGCAAGAGTTGCCTTTGATTTCCGATCAATATCAGACTACATCCTTTCAGCCACATGCCGTAACTCTCAAGGATTACGATTCCCAGACCTTGCAGCAGTTTGGTGGTCAGCTGGATCTATGCTGCGCCAGCAGCTTCAATCAAAACCACTTCTATCTCTCCAGTCCCGGCTTTCCAAGGACGGTCTTGAACTATCTGCTGCCCAATCAGCAAAGGGATTGCGTGTTTTACATAGAGAAGAGCTCTCCGAACGTCTGTCGTTTGAGGATCCAGTTCAAGTTCTTCGATTTCGGTCAGAATTCAGGAGGCTCCATTGGCGGCAGTTTCGGCGGGGGACTCGCAGGCGGAGTTTCCGGTGGATTGGGCGGAGGATTCAGTGGCGGCTTTGGAGGCCAACATAATTGCAATGGTGACTTCCTGGAGCTGGATGGTCAGCGATACTGCGGCTGTCGTTCGGGCTATGTGCACAAATCGCATTGGGATCAGGGTCGCAAGGCGTTGCGCATGCGCATAGGACAGTCGAGCAGCACCACGTCCAATGGCTTCCTGCTGGAGATATTCCAGGACCAGGACTCCGATGGCTGTCGTCAAGACGCTGGCCAAGCATTTGGATTGGGCCTGCAGCAGCAGCAACCTCAAAGGGGATTGGGCTTGTGGCCGCAGGGGTTACAGGGGTTACAGCCTCAATTGGGCTTGCAACCCCAGTTGGGATTGCAACCTCAGCTGGGATTACCCCCGCAAACAGCACCAATGTGGCCCCTACAAGCCGGATATCCCAACTATGTCAGCGGTTATCCCCTACCCTTTACGGCCACTCCCTATCGAACGGCGAGAAGGATTTCCTATGCCCGCGGAATCGATGCCCAACAGCCCTCGAGAGTGGTGGAAACGAACTCCACCCGCAAGGAGTTCTACTACTTCGACGGCGATGAGGCCTTTGCCCGTTCCGCTTTGGACGATGAGGACGAGGATAAGTCTCACCTGGGCGTCACAACTCAGCCGCAGTCTCCACCCCAATCCCCAGCTAAGCCGGAGTCACCTGTGGTTACGAAAGCCTTCGAGCAAAGCAGTTGCTCCTTTGATTACATGGAGGTACTTAAACTTTCCGTCGACACGCTCTGGCTAACGAAACCCTTGTGCTTTTCGCCCCTGAGGAGTTGGTTCCCAAACATTTTTGGCTGAAGGTGGAAAACAAATTTGTTTCACATAATGAAAGATTTAAGAGCTAATAAAAACTAGGAAATTCGAAGTGCTGTTTAATGTGTTTTTATATATTTTCGGTGATATAATAATTATCCGTTTCATGACAATGATACCAAATTTCCTCCTATTTCGCCAATTCTGTTAACGTCATAGCGAGTGTGTAAAGTAAATACGATAAGGAATGCGTCTTTTCACTCCGCTTAGTCATCCATGGGAGCTTACACGCTCCGTGGTCATTACTAGGCCACGAGTTCCAGCAGCCCCGTCCTCACCTTTAGCCACTCCGTATCGCAGTCCCCCACCCGACTTTGTCATCCACAGATACAGATGCTTTCCAGATAGATAACCACGTCGCCACATTGTTGTCTCAGCAAACAGTGAACAATAGTTGGCCGAGAATCTCGGCCCTATTCAATCTCAATGTCAGGGTGCGCTTTCTCACTTCCGTAGTTGCTGGGTGGATTACAATCGCAGTACTTATGTGGGATAAACAAAGAGTCGGAGTTGTTGTGGAAGTGCCAAACTAGAAAAGATCTGTCCAATTTGCTAGCACTAATTTCTCCAACGATCTTGTGGTTACATGCATAAATATTTCACTGCAAGCAATTGATCTTAATTGATTTTATACTTAGTTTCGGAAAAATACTAAGTTCCTATAAGTTAAGAACTTAGCTCAGCTTGCTTGATATATTTAAAGTATATAAAGAGCCCTTTACGTCAATTGAAAACGCCTTGTCGCCATTCAATTGCATACGAATAATAGTACTTCATAAGTTTATTTGAAATATATATACTCCTCGACTTTACATTACAGATAGCTTCAGTTAGTAAGTAGTTAACACGTACACATTTATGTTAATACACACATTTCAATATTCTCGTATATACACACTGATGTAGCATTGGGGATTGTGGCTCCATTTGCGTCATTATAATACTAGTGTAATGGACCGAGCGGCGTTACGAGACTTTAAAGTGATATGGCAACGTTTTGGAATTGTTTGGATTAGCACACGCAACGACCACTAAGAAAGTAACAAGGGAGCTACTATAACTTTGTTTATTTCGTTAGTATATACAACACATTGAGAGCTATAAAAGTTTTAATTGTCTACAATTGGAATTAGGGGAGGCTCACAAGGGTCTCTAGCCCTCTCTAGCCCGAGATAACGAAGTATTTTTAGCTTAGTTCGCTTAGCCGGATAGTTAGCAGTTAGTAGTTAGTTAATTAGTTAGGCTAATTGCTAGTGCTTGTTGTTCTCCAGCTTGGCGCTCGACTTTGTCAGCAATGTACAATGATGCTTGGTATACATATGTGTCTGTCAGTGTCGTGTCCGTGTGTGGGTGTGTGTGTGTGGGTGTGCGGATTATAGCCTTCGTCCTGGATCCTGTGCCTTAGCCCAGGAACCTTATGTTGGTGAAGACCGCCTTGGCCGGACGCTTCCGGTTGCAGAAGTTAACCGTCTTGCTGTGGTTGCCCTTGCGATTCTCGTGCAGATTGACCAGCAGCTTGAATATATCCTCCTTACTAGGTGTGCAGGCATATCGCAGTTCCGGTTCATAGTTGCTGTTGATAGAATTCATGTAAGAACTGATAATGGTAATGGTTATGTAGTTAGCAAATCGTTCACGCTTCGGCTATCAGTAATCAGTAATCAATCGATCAATCGATCTCTCAGTGGGCGGTGGGGAGTTCTGGGTGTCTGCCTTTTGGGCCTAAAGAGACTCTTATAAATGCATTACAGTAAGTTGTTCAAGTTCAAAGGACTACTGTGGGCGGGCAGCAAGGATGCTCCTGAAATTGCCATTTTTGCTTTGAGGGTCATACTTTTGATTTGCGTCAATTCGTCACAATTGAATTCTAACCATCTTTACTTTAAAGGAAAGCTTTTTATTTCTAAGGCAGGCTCCGTTTATACAGCTTGGCAATTTGAGGATTTCCGTTTATAGCTCTAAGAATAAGGTAGTTACTCTGCATAAAGACTACTGACAACATTTACTAACTACAAATGAAAATTTGGCTTGCGTAATTGGCAGTCAATGGAGCTGAGTGCAGTGCTTTGGGGATTTTCGGATTGGTGTGAGTTCTGTTTAAATAAAGAAAAGCAACCTACCCGCGATTCTTGTTGTGGCGCTTCCACGGATACCTTCGATAATAGCGCGACCGCTTGGATTTGCTCTGGCCCAAAACCAAATCCTGAACGGTGTTCTCCAAGTCGGCGTAGTCCTCGGCTCCGGCGGAAGGAATGACGGCCTCCGGCTCCTCCTCCTCCACGTATACCAAGGGCAAGGTTTCCAACGAGGGATCCTGAGCGAACAAATACACAGAGAAAATTTGAGTTGTGCCTTGATTACTGAAGGAACTGCAAAAATGAAAGTACTTAATAGCACGAATTACTTTGAAAAATTTAGTTTTCTGTTTAAAATTTTTGCAAAAATATTTATAAATTAAGTTAATAGCTTTTTGTAAAATGAATTCTCTGTGTATTCCTCAGCATTTTTAACGAAATTTCGCCAGCCTGACTTTTCACTCACCTCCAGCATTTTCATGAGCAAAGCGGATTTGTCCACGAGCTCCTGCTCGGCACGCAAATCCTCCTCCATCTTCTTGAGCACCTCGAACTTGCTGGCCAGCTCGAGTTCGTTGTACACCGCATCGGCGTAGTCGGGGATCTGGGGAACCACTGCCAATCCGAGTTCCTGGGCGCGGAGTAATTCTGCCGTGAAATGAGCACGCAAAAGTCCTTATTTGCGATTGGAATGTTTATTCAAGCTGCCGCTAATCCGACCACAACCATGCCATTCCCACTCCCACTCCCACTCCCAATCCCACATAGATTCTTGCTCCGTGCCATCGGAAACTTCCGCCGCTTGATATTTGAAAGTTTGAATAGTTTGTTTGTCTGTCTGTCTTGGTCGTTTGGAAGGGGGCTTCAACGTGTATCCCCACGGCACTTCTGTCGTTTCAATGGACTGGCGGAAATTGACTGGCGGCAATGAGTTTATGGCCACAGAATTCCCTTCCCCGCCCGTTTCCCGGCTTTTCGACCACGTCCGTCAGTCAAGGCAACAGGCACTGCAACTCCTTGACTGCCTTTTGTCGCTTTTGGCATCCAGTCTGCCCATCACTGTCCACTCAATGTCTTTTCAAAGAGCCGCAGACAGGCGACTCGTGAACTCAGGCGGCTCGAAACCCTTCGCAGTTACAGTTCGCACTTTAAAGATGATATGTAATACTCATTTTCGACATCACAACAGATTTAAATATCAGTGCATTTCGTTTTTGTTTCATACAAAAGATCACCTGTGACGTCCAGAAATGAAAATGTTACCAACTCCCGAATCGATATTCGTTGAATTTCCAATCCATTTACCCATCTATCAAATCACTTGGAAAACCAGTTCACTTATTGAAAATCGGATATGACATTTTATTGCGGGCTGGTGGCAGGAAGGTGCTCGCAACCCAAAAACCCAAACACCAAACCCAAAACGCAAACGTCGAATCAAATTCGTCAACAAATTTGAAAACCTATCCCCGCCTGTTTGGTGGGCGTGTTAAGTGCTCTGCACAAACAGATGCTTCACATATTGTATGATGGCTAACATGTGAGGCACTTGAACAATTGTGCACTGACCGAAAATGTTCAGCGAGCGGTCACCATGGCCATTAGCGATGGTGGGCGGCGGTTACGGCTAAGTGCACGCCTGGGCCACCCTAACTCTGGGTCCACCCTTTCGAGCGGGTGCCTAAAAGTCGGCAAGCAAAAATTTGAACTCAGGCGAGGATGAGGATGAAATGAGAGCTGGTATCTGCTATTAAATGTACCAACAAATTGCGACTACCAATATTTGAGGAAGATAACAAAAGGCCTTAAAATCCTGAACAGATTAATTATTTCTGGTCATTTAAAGTTGCTCACTATTCTAGTTCTTCTAGCTCCCAAGCTTTATGAGCGGTGGAAACCTGGTTATAGGATTTTTCATGCCCACGATTACGTATTAAAAAAGAACCAGAGAACAATTAAATTGAAATGGCCACAGGATGCAGTTGCTATCCTGTTGATTCGACTGGGGATTAGCCCGGGATGCCCGGGAAGTCTACTCGAGGTCTTTGCGGCGAAGGAAAAGAAGCGGTAATAGGGATGTTTATGACTCACCATCGCCGGGATCGTAAACGGCTCGCTCCTGGACCTCCAGGACGTCACCGGACGGGGAGGGTCCTTGGCGAACGGGTCCGTCCTCGACCCCTAGAATGGGCAGATGCAGACGCTGTGGGGCGGACGCCACGCCCTGGTGGTCACCACTCCTGGCGGCTCCGCTTGCTCCGCCTGCTCCTCCGCTGGCGGAGGTCTGGGCAGTAAGGAAGCCGGCGACGTGACGCGTCCTGCTACACAGGATCGTGGTAGCCAGGATGCAGAGCGCAAGGGTGTCGGACTTCATGTTCATACAGCTACTCCGGATGAGCTCGGGATTAGTGCGCGGGTCGTTGGCGATGTGGATGTCCCTGGAAGGCAAAGCAGCGGAGATGTTTGTACAAGAGGGTAATTACCGTCACTACCACGAACAGGCATGGATGCCTACCCCCATCCGCCCCCTCATGCCGTGCGTGTGGGCGTCTTTGTGTTTAAGCAAACAATACGCAGATAAACACGCAAGCAACCGAGGAGCCCCCACCAAAAGGGGGGAACCGCGAAGGCAGCTGCAGAAGTGGGTGGTGGGGGCGAAACGTCAAAAGGGCGCCTCTTAGATAACTTGGCGGCTGATTCTGGGGCTTTTGTCTTGTGCTGCTGCTTAATCTTTCTTCGCGGGAAGAACCGTGAGTCAAACAATTATACATTTTTCCCTTCAAAGTGTTTGCACTTTATGCACAAATAGTTTATAACAAACGCGGTTGAAGTAATATGTTCGTGAAGTAGCAAATACCGAAGGTTCAGCCTTGCGGGTTTACTTTATAGATACTATATTATATTTTGTAATAACTTGGTATTATATCTGCATTACATTTTATGTTCACATGCCCCGTCGAAAGCCAACTTTATTTACTTATAGAGCGAAGAAATATACTCAATTTTGGTGAATATCAACGAAAGATGATTGAGGCAACCTTTTTCCCGTAGATTTGCACCACTGTATTCGAGGTGTTCCTGTGCTTTTATAAATATTTTTATGTCAGGTACTGACTGCATCGAGGTTCATACTGGGCCTTCTCCCGGGCGCTTTGTCCTTTCATTTAATTAAGTATGGGACCTCGCTGACATGGGCGAGTGGGCTTAAATCTTTTGCAGCGTATTTTCAGCCCATTAGCCGGGGATACTGGTTGTTGGGGATCTGGAAAACCCGCCGCCCTTATCGCATTTTTTTGCGTTTACAAAACATCTGCTTGACGAGCAATATAAATGAGTTGGCTGGAACTTTTGGCACTTTCGGTGCGGTTTCGCTGGTTGAGATGTCTAGGATCGGCTTAATTTGTCTGCCCAAGCAGCTGAACATAATGCACGAGTGTGCTTAGACAAATTACTAAAAAAAGTGTGAAGATTTTCGCCAAGAAATCCAAAGTTCATTAATTAATTAAGGGCTTCGTTAATAAATAAGGCGCTTTTTGCTGCGAAAGTGTAAACGCATTTCATCCAATTGTCTGTGTTTGCAAAGGAATTGCTATTTTTCATAAGAAAGATAATATTATTAAATTATCTTTCAGAAAATCGTTCCCACCTCACATGCAAAGTAAATTTAAATTGGCTAAATTTATATGGTTAGTTAACCACATAAATCAGTCAAGTGAATCAACTCTGACACGCCCTAGCCAAAAAAAAACGCAAAAGGACAGCATTCGGTTCATTAAAATTGCTCGGAGAAAGAGAACTTCTCGTTAATGATTTTCTTTTCACTTTTCGTCACGTTTTGCTAGAATCGATTGAAAATTTGCAAATTTGTCAAAATATTTGCGACAAAATTTTATCGTCGCTTCGCCGATGATATACATTTATGTTTTTAAGTGCATAGTAATTTTCCGGTTTTTTGTTCATTGGGGAAATAAATTGCAATTTCTTCGGGCATTTCCTGCAAAAACTTTTTCAATTACTCCGCTTTTATTGACACTCACGAAAGTGGGCAACACTTTGGTGTTATTTTTGGGAAAGCACAACTTATTTGAAATTGCTGAGGAGGGGTCGAATTATAGGCAAACAAAGCAAACGAATCGTTGTTAAAATGCCTTAATTAACTTGTTGGCACAGTGTCAAAATGTGGACAGAGCCCAAAAAAACGCCAGAAAAATAGAAAAGAAATTCACCCTGGTTGGCGGTGTCCCCAAGGTAAAATTAAATTAATTTGGGGGCGAGGGAAGTTTCAGGAACCCATATATAAATGCGCGTCCATTTTTACCCGTCGTCTGTTTTTCTTTTTGCAATAGCCACACGGCTAATTGCTAAATTGAGTTGAAGTGTAACTGAAACGGTGCCGAACCCAAAGGAATTTTCATAGGCCTTATCTTCCACTATGTTCGCCTACGTACCACCTGATGTGGTCATGTGTGGTGGAAAAACTGCTTAATTAGGGCTAAGGATGTGGAAAATACGGCTGGGAAAAGGGAGTTGGCCAAGTGCATCTGACATTTGTCGCCGGAATCCTGCCAATTAGTCACGGTCTATGTGCGTAACAATCCTGGGCAGCACATTACACAACTTTTCTACTTATTGAATCCGGCCATCTGGGATGCTAGTCAAAATTTGCACACAAAAGGTTACACAAAAAGTTTTAGCAAAGCCAAAAGACGGGACGTCAACGGAATCTTCAAATTTATAAGTACTTGTGCCATAATTCAAAGAGTTGCAGTTGCTCGCCAACTAGAAATTCGGGCACAAACTGTCATCTTTAATGAATAACTAAGAGCTGTATTGCCTCCGGAATGTAACTCGATACCTCGAGATATATTTTCAGTTGCTATGTCCCGAGAAATAGCGCACACGAGCATCTGTAAGTACGTTCTGAGGATAAAATCCAGTGGGATGCTGAATTTTTTGACAAGAAAACTGCTTGGGATTGCGTTCAATGCTTTCGATGGATTCATTTTTTTAAATTGCTATACGATTGTCGGGAATTTTCGCACGTGGAACTTAAGGGGTTTGATATAGAGAACGAGGTCGGGGACAACAAATATTGATGCTTTTTCTATTTGTTTCTCCTTGATTTTTGTTGGTTTATTTACGCTTGACATTTGTGCTTGGCATTGGTGGGAATTCCTTGAGTTATTGACATTGATAAAGTATTTATGGATTGCTGTCCTGAACAAGCTTAAAACCAATTTTCCCAAAAATGTTAAGCTCACCAGTTGCAATTAATTGCTAAATTGAACTGTCTAGTTCAAGTGTCATGTTATATGTTTAAAAGCGAAATTACGAACGTCATTTTTAAAATTGGTATGAAATAATGACAAAATGTGTGGGGAAAGTTAAAAAAATGAATTTTTCGTACTGCTTTTTTTTCTTGTGAAAAACCTTAGTGGAACTAAAAACAACAAAATAATTCTACTATTTTTAAACGAGACATTCAAAATGTTAAGCTTTTTTTATCAAGATTTTTTGTCGATAGAAGTTGGTTTAAAAATCTTCAGGTACAGTTCAAAATAATATAATGTAGCAATTAAAAGGTAGTAAATTCATTTTTAGCTATCATAAATCCCTTGATTTTCGTTCCTTTGAGCATTTTCGGTTTTATGAACGAATGCAATAGTTTTGTTTGAAATACAATAGTTGTGTTGTTGTGTCCTTCTCTGGCATATTTAATATATGTTCAGGACATTATTTAAGTAAACCCACTAATTGTTATGTATTTTTCAGGCGCGTTTTTCGAGTTCCATTGACGACATTGTAATTGGTGACGAAAGCGACGGCATTACTAAGATTTCACGTCACGTGCATATATCCTTGTATATCCTTTTTATACAATCGGCAGGCTCAAATTAAACACAGGCCACAATATTTTTAAGGAAGCATTTTAAAGAGTTCTGCGAAACTGATATTCGAAACACACCGTCAACACTCACTTTAAAATATATTCCTGGAAACCGTTTGCGCTGCTGAATCAGAATCGGAATCAGAATCGCAACACTGTCAACTGTTGCACCTACTACTTGTTGAACACTGCGTGGTCGACTCGCGGAGCCGCCTCCTTTTATAAGGCCGCGTCCGAAGTTAAACCCGATTCGCCATCGGCGAGCGATGACGAGCACGTCGATTTCCACGAGCCGATTGAAGGCGCCAAAAAAGTGCGTAAAAGCTTCGACAAGCTTTCCCTGGCAACTCCTCCTTCTCCTTGGAAGTGGAAACGCCGCGGTTTTTATCAATGAAATATTTTCGGGGCATTTAAAAGTTTAGCGCCTGCTCGGCGATATTCGCGAATGAATAATGTCACTGGCAATTATTCAGCAGCACCAGGATATGCGCCGCTAAGTAGGCAACAAGTCGCGAAAGGACGTCACGGGGCAAGGTGATAAATAGTTTGCGGGGGGAGGGAGGTTGGGCGAAGGTGCCTTTGTTGAATCACTCGCTTCTCGGAATCTCGCCGTGCTGTGCAAGGTCCCAGTTCCTCAAAGGTCCTGCCATGCATGCGGAAATCCCTGCAGGCCGGTGGTTCGGAAATGTATTTGAAAATTCCACGAATCGACCAAGTGTAATTGCGTATTCCGTTTTCATTGCAAAATGGTATTGTCATGTCTTAGGCGACGATTATATTTATAGACAGGTGATGATAGCTTTGTTTATATGATATTTACTGGAAAGAAGGATGTGACATATTGCATTTAGTTCAGAGGGGTTTCAAGTCGATGAAATGTGACCTCCTCTTGGTTCTCATTAAATGCATTAAACTAACAAAATAATACATTTTTAGAGCTGCAAATCCGCAGGAACACTGCAATCCCAGAGCTGGAATCGAGGGGTTTGGACATCCCCAGCCAGGCCTGGAAAAAGAAGACACTTTAATGTGAAATGGCCGTGAGTAATGGAGGACAATCAAACGATCCCTCGATGTTTTCGTTATTGTTTTGAGTGTGTATGTGCGTGTTGTTTTGGCCTAAAAGGCGGGCCAGGAAAATAAGCATATATAGGGTTTTCTTGAAAATCGCCTGGGGCAACAGAAGATGACACTTAGCCTGAGAAAACCAATAATAGCCCGCTGAAAAGTTTAAGTGCTCGGGGGCAGGAGCAAGTGGCGCTGGGTGGGGGCTTCCCCATGTCAGGCAAAAGGCATATTTTTGGCCAGGACCTGCTATTTATAGTCGGCTTTCTTTCACTCTCCGCCACTTACTCTTCATACTTGCCGCTCTTTGTGGCAAGCGGGTTGTGCGACTTAAGTTGCATCGCCTCAAAGTCCGCCCACCCAATTGGACACCGACTCATCCAAATGCGTCACGCCCTTCTGGTTTGGCACATGCAATCTCGCCATGTGTCGACGTGCCAAACAAAATGATAAACAAATTAGCGCGGCTAATTACTCGGAAGCTTGTGGATGGTTTTCTGGGAAGCAGAAACTGAAACTGTTAATAAATATAGTTATTGGAGTTAGGCTGAGAAAGAAATATTTTTTATTTATTTTAAAACATTTATTTGGTGAAACACATGTACATTAATTGTAGAAAAAGTAAGCTTAATTTAGTGTAAACTAAAAAATTTAAATCAAAAATCATTACACATATGGTTGTAGTATGTTTGTATGTGTGATAACTCAGCGGACCTTATCAATTGACAAATTCGTTTTCCGTAATATATTTTTTAAGGATTCGATTTTCGGAACACAATTAAGCCCGCATATCTTTGCGGTACGCACATCCGTATCGCTGGGCAAATATTTGTAGCATACTTGTCGGGTGTTGGCGAGTGAAATGTGTAGTTAGTTGACTCACGCGTTTGCTTTTGGATTTTTCGGCCGCTTTATTGTTGTTGTCATGCGGGCACTATCACCTCGTTACAGCTTTAATTAAACCCCATAGACAGTTATCAAGTTATCAACCTAAACGCCGAGATTGAGTGACAGTGGCAGTTTGGCTGACGTTTTTCGAATCCGCTTCCTCCGCGGACGTTTAACAAACAGTGGTATCCCAGCCAAACTGATGCATGCACAATTTGGTGAAATATCTGGACTCCCATGGGGGGAAACCAAATATTTTGCCAAATATTGAGAACTCGCGAAAACTGGTGTGCAGGATAAACGGCCAGCCGCTGCCCACCGAACATGAAAATGGATTCACTCTATTGCTGCTCAGGCCTTGGCTGGCTCCTGGGCCTCGTGGTCCGAGCTGATCTCAAGGTCCTGCTCCTCCGCCACCGCCTCCTCGCCCTCCTCCGCTGTCTCCACGAAGATCTGGCCCATGATGATCTCCTCGGCCAGTTGATACAGCTCGCGGATGTCCTGGAGGAAGCAATTTGGTATACAAATACACGTATAAATGAATCTAGATTGAGTATGATTGATGGACCCACCTTGGCATTTCTGAGCGCCACGATCTTCTCATCCTCGAAGCGCAGCTGGTCGTACTGCTGCTTTGAGATGAGCAAGCCCCGATTGAACTCGTCCTCCATCTCGGCCTCCAGCTCCTCGGCGTACTGCTGCTTGGCCAGGGTCAGGCTGATGGCATCCTCGCTGATGACCGTCTCCTCGGAGACGTCGGTGACGTCGTCCAGGTACTTGGAGTGCACCTCGCCGCCCTGGAAGTCATCGTCCTCTACCGAAAGTTCCTGCGCGATCACCTCCCCACTGGATCGATGGGCATCCTCGATAAGTTCGGTTAGTTGTTGAGTGGTGACCGCCAGCTTCACATCCTTCAGCTTGTCCTCCAGCTGGTTGCGAATACGCAGCTCGGTCTCCCGGAACTTTTGCCTAATTCGAGGCAACCCATTTGGTAATGTCAGCGGAGTAGCATATTTCATAATCCCTACCTGGCCCTCACTATGTTCTGTATGTCCTGGGGATCCGATGAGTAGGGCTGGGATATGCGCAGCGAGCGCTCCTTCATTTTGGCACGCTCCTGTTCGAGGAACTCCTTCAGGCTCTTTTCGCACTCCCGCCAGTCTTCGTTTTCGATGCTGTGATGAAAAGTGGGGAAGTTTTCCTTTCATTAGCCCCCGTTCTGAAGCGAACTCACTAAACATTCAACTCATGCATATTAATGGCGAAGTAAGCAACCGGGTTTAAGATTGCGCCCTGGCAACGAAACGGTTTCATCATCATTTGGAGATACGCTTTCTAAGGCACAGTGGTTATTGAAGAAAATACAGATTTGAATAGACACCTGAACGAGAGCGGCCAATTTTGATAGCTTTGTCAAGGAGCTATTGATACCACATAGTTGTGAAGTGTTATTTCTGGCACATTTGTGCAGCTACAACTGATAAAATTCAGCTAATGAATTTATAAACTATTATGGTACGCTTTGTAGTCGACTCATAAAACTTTACCAACTGGTAACAACAAACTTTTCGTGGAACTTAGAGCATTTAACCCCAGTCTATGATTTGCTGGAATTTCTCCGTCGACACCCACGTCTTCCCACTCCCACCGAAGGCCGTTTAAGCCAGTGGGTTCCAGTGGGTTCATCTTTTTACAATACATGCATCTTAGCCCTCTTTTTTGTGTTGCCCCAACTCGCTGGGGATAAAAAGCTTCCCCAGAAGGCGCCGAGCGTCAGCGAGGAATAATGTATTGTTATTCATTTTTAATTTTGCCGGCATTTAATGGCGGCGGAGTTTAAGTTACTTACCGCAGCAGATCCATTCCCCTTTCCGCATCCTCCGCCCTGTACTGCTCCACCAACAATTTCTGCTGGCGCTGCCGCTCGCGTTTCTTGGCCAAGAGCTCGGCTTCCTTGGCGGCGTGTTGCAGCCGTTCCCGCTCCCATTTCACGCCCTGGAGCTTCAAGCGCTCCGCATTCTTCTCCCGAGCGGTCTTCAGCTGTTTGGTGCAAAAGGGGTTAAAACTGAAATGAAATCTGATCGGGAATCAGGCTCACCTTGGAGCGCTCCTTTTGGATCTCCATGTTGGCATCTTTGTTGACCATGAATATGGGATCGTCGGCCAGTTCGTCTGGTATTACGTCCGACTTGCCCTCGATAATCAGCATGCGTTCGCGCTCCACCTCTTTTAACTGCCAATAAAATCAAATTAATAAATATAGTACCTCTTGAAGTGAAGATACATTAATGCACTTCTAAGCCAGTTCTTAGCGCATTAAACGTAGAGTAAAAAGTATCTAATAGCATTAAATTTGTTAAAGAAAAAGTGTAATAAAGCCAGTTAGTTTTCCTATCCAATAATACGTTTGATGGCAGAACAAGCCGCTGTTTGAACTTTATTAGCGGTCAGTGTGGTTGATATAAAGCCAAGTGCGGCAAAGTGTATGTGGTAATAAGCCGCTTCGTGGCTTACACATTTTCGGGCTAAGGCAAAGTTTGTGGTGTTCCCAAAATATCAATTTCTTAGCCACATCAACACTTCCCGACACCTTGCCTTGTTCTTTGTTGCCTTTTTGGTGCATTGCGCGGCAATGATGAATGAAATGCAATCGGAAGCGTCAAGAAATTTTACTTCATAGGCTCGGTATCATTTCAAACTTCAGTCAACTGCAATTGCATTTAAGGACAAGTCGGACAGACAGATCTCTAAGTATTCGTATCCGCAGTGAAGCACTTTGTACTTCATAGTTTTGGAGACTCGCATGTCCCACCGACATAAAAGGCAACTTTTGCCATCTCTCCCCGTGCCTTCCACTCGTCTTCTGGTCCAATTTTTATTACTTTGACGGCTTGGATTTGCCATTTTCATGTCGGAGGCTCATTGGATTCAATTGTTTGTGCTTCGGCCTGGCCCCTTGGAAAACAGAATAAGTAGGCGGTGTGTCGGCGTCATTGAAAAACTTCGGGACACTTTCGCCGCGCTCCCGTGAAAAGGGAAACTTGAAAAGGGTAAGCAAGTCACTGGTGTAAGGAACATAGCCCTGGACTTTAAGATACCGGAGGTCTTGAAAAACTAGACAAAACATAGAAGAGCCACCAAAAACCCAGAAAAGTGCTACATACACCACAGATGTGCCGAGATGCAGTAGTTATTTTAGTATTTCCTATAAAACTTTGTATAATCTTCACTTTCCATTTAAGTAGATACAAAAATGGCGTAAAATTAGGCTGATTTATTGAAAAGTTTACAAATTTGGGAAATATTTGAGATATCGACTGGGCTATCCTATCAAAAAGCGAATACAACCCGGTCTCACCCTCGGAAATAAGTGCTCTACGTGACGCTCCCTGGCGACAAATTTGTTTAGGACCCACGCCTCATATTTGCCCCTTTCTAAACTTCATGAAAATTAAATTACCAGCCACGCAAATTGGTCACATTTGTGTTTGGATTCTCAGGGGCTAATTGGGGTGCCCGGATTAGAGCCCCCAAAGAAGTATCCATTCTTACCTCCCGGGCGCGAATGCGGGACAGCAGCTGTTTGCGGTAATCCTCGTCGATCCGCTGCCGGAGCTCCTTCATGTAGCTGCGGTCCGTCAGCTTGACCACATTGGTGCCCATCAGACGCTCCAGGCGGGCGCTAATGCGCGGCAGATTGAAACTGGAACGGGAAAGTTAAGTTACAGCAAGGTGAGCGGAAAATTCAGGCCGCGATATGCGAAGAAAAAGTGCGCAATCATAATGAAAAGAACAAATGGCAGACAAGTCAATGTTAATGGCTCTCCCAAATGTATGCCAGTAAATTCTGCGCTTAATTACGGGCTCAGCCTTCACCCCCCCACTTACCCACACCTGGGTGGGAAAATCCCACATCGTCCGCTGAAGGCGTTTTAGCGCTTGTAACTGTTGGTAACGAATGAGGTCGGGCCGCTTTCTCGGCCTGTTACTATAGCGCTTTTCACTCGCTGCGTTTGCCAACTGCCGCCGTGTATTATTTTGGTTGCCAAACACCCGAAACCGACAACACAAGGACAAGAAGTCGTGCTCCAACTTCTCCGTTCCCAACACAATGGGCCAAGCCAAAGATGGCTTTCACGAAATTTAAGAGTCCTAAGAACCAGAAGCGATGCGATCTTAATTTACATATGCTCAGTTAAATGGAGACTTCTAAATATTGCTAGAAAGCATAAACAATATCCTGTTGCAAACCTGCTGTGCGAAGCATATTTAGGCAAAGGTTTAACTAACTGACCCACTGTCCTCCCAACTTGCTCCTATATTCTTCACGTGATATGCACACCAGTCAGCAGGACTAACAACAACCAGCACCCCGAATTTCTTGGCGTAATGGTAGACATGCAGGGCAGGGTGGGACCGTATCGGGGAGAACCCATCGGGGAGAACCCATCGGATTCTCGGATTCATGGATGAACGGCGTGCCAAGCGGGGGAAGACTGTCTCGTCTCGTCAGACGGTTAGACTTTCGCTAGGCTTTTTAGCAATGGCTCACATGGTGCTTCTTTCTTTCTTTTATTCTCTTTGCGGTTCTATATGGTAAATAGGTATTTTATTTCTACATGCTATAAAGCAACTTAATGCGGGCAGGTCATGAGACTTGTGCACTCATCCAGCAAACATTGCCGTGTGGGTTTCGAAATTCATCATGGGATTAGGCAGTCCTAGTTAATGGTGCTCGTTTAGTTGACAATTAGATGGGTTCCCTTATAGGGATTGTTATTTTGGGGGTACCTTGGATCGAAGCCCAGATTGCACCCAATAAAAAACCGTTCAATTCGAGCAGGCTAACACATTTTTAACGCTTACAATGTCGTCTTTGATGTTGCCACGAAAATCGTAACGGGCAATAGTTCAAAGTCATCAAAGTTCAATTCAATCAATTTTCAATCACAAGCAGGTGAGGAAAGTAAAATCCTACCCCAGTTGGCATTGACATTGATAATGAAATTTCAGGACATCAATGGGTGTTGTCGTCGTATCAATAACCCGGCTCATGTCACATGCTCATGCTACATGCATAAATTACGTATACGCCCCGACGGCCGAGGGTTGCGGTAAGAAAACAGTCTGTCATGTCTGTGCCCTAGAGAATCCCGAGTTGCAAGCCTCAATTTATGACCCGCTCGCCGTAAACAAGGAAACCCCTTCGCTTGTAATAGTTCCTGTGATAGCTCACATCTTTTTATTGCAACTTCCGCGAAACTTTCCGAGTGCAACTCCCGTGACATTTGCAACGGTCGCATCCGCTGCTGTCACGATAGTTCGGGTGGGCCATGATTTACGGCTCACCCACGTGGGATTCCCCTGGCATTAACCCATTTTTGCCGGAGTGCTGGGGGGTGCGTGGGCGCCGAGTGGGTTAACGCATATCCGATTGCCATTTGCGGCACAGTCGGCTCAATAACGCATTAAAAATTGTGTATTTCCTTTTGTAAGCGCCTTTGTTTGTTCTTTTATTCCGTAAGTGCTCGCAATGAATATGATTTATTGGGTGGCTATATATGCCGACTTTATTGGTGGGACAAGGCTTTATGGCCAAACTGCGTGCTTCATAATGGTGTCAACTTTTTCAGCTGCCGATTTTTGCCATTCGATCTCCATACATTTTTAATTGTGCCTGCTAAAATGTTTCAAATTGATAATCCTTACTTCGGACTGCCTGTGGTGCATTTATTTTGTACTCGCTTTTAGCTACCAACCATAAAAGCCGCTTCTTTCAGAGCCCTATTACTCCTTTCTTCCTATGGGCGTAATGTGTCGGAGAGGAAAAGTCCCATTGATTACATTTATGACTTAATTAGCGGCAGTTCGCAGCGAAGCAAGGAACCATATTAGTTTACACCCTTTCCTTGCCGTTCCCTGTCATAGGCTATTGAAGAGGAGCCATAAAAGCCAACCGAAGGAGCGGAAAGTTGGGCGGAAACAGGACTTCAGCTCCTGCAAGGGTGCAATGCTAATTAACGACAGGGACGTGCATAAATTTACCGAAGCGTTGACATTTATGTCTTCTGCCACTTGGCCATTAAAATTGATAATTGCAGCACGTAGCTGGGGAAATAAATATGCAGCAGGGGTGCTGCTGGTTGTTATTGAAATGTGATTCCGATTGACCCATAATAAAACCGTTGGATAACATAATTATAAGATTTTCATTTTGTATAATCTTTCAATTATAATCTTTCAAGAAACCTATAAAAGCTAACCCAAATATTGTTTGAATTCTGGCTTTTACCTCTCCTCCGGCTCCAGAGTGCATTGCACAAAGTCGATGAGGAACTCCTCCTCTATATTGATCCGCATCATTGGCACGGATTTTTTTGTCCTCTTCCCTTTCAAGGGTCTTGCAGCCATAGCAGGTGAGGAAAGCAGAAGGTGCTCACTTCATTCCCTCATTTTCGCACCAATTCGAGCGGGAACACAACCTGCGGAACTTTCACCCGAACTCGACAAAGTCAACCGGCGAATGTGGCGCCCTTTTCGCAGGACTCGATTCCCTGGGCTGCCGCTCCTCGGGCTTTGTAGTTGACACACACGTGTGTGTGGCGTCGAGTGGCACGTGGAAGAAAATGCGCCCACCCACTTTTTACCTTTGCTCCCCAGCGTCTCACGATTCCCAGGCGTTGGCAATAGAGCCCCGATTCCGATTCCGGTTCCGATTCCGAATCGGTATGCGAGTCCTGTCTGGCCTACACATCGCATGTTAAAGCATTTAATGCTAGGCGTAAAGACACGACACCAATGCCAATATTTTGACAGCGTAGTGTGTCAACAAGTTTCCAATGCGCAGTGCTCAGGATTTGAAAGCCCCGACAGTTCGGCTTCAACAGCTTAAGGTCCTGGTCAAAGTCAGTCCGTCAAATTGGAATGCTTGCATATAGGCTTCAGGGTATAGGCGCTCCAACAGTCCAGTGAAGATTACTTTTCACACCCTATAAAATATATTTACTACTGATCACGAGCAGTGGCAGACTTAATTTAGCCATATTTGCATGCCAGTCTGAATGCTTTCTACGATCTCGGATTTCTACGCATTGAAGGGCTTATCGTGGTTGGAGAGTACAGGGTATATGATAGTAGAGTTTCCAAGTTTTTAAATATTTTACAACATTTTACAAGCAAAAGGCGCGTTGAAAACCTTCGACTTCTGACACAAGCAAGTAAAGTCAGACAAATCGGAAGGCAACTATTGGTGATGATACCTCCAAAAGACTTAAATTTGTGCTTTTTACTATTTACCCTCCCAAATATATAACTCGATTGAACAGACACTGAGCGCCAAAGTATTGAAATACTTTTGAAGGTTTCCACTCTGAGGTGTCGTGGGAACTGAAAAGCCAGTTTCGTTCTAGCCATTTCACTCTCGGATTTCCCTTAGCCCTTTGCTTCTGGCCAAAAACAGTGGGTGTTTATTTAACCGTTAGATCTCGTTTTCCGTGTCCCTTTGTCTGAGCACGGAACCACTGAGTAAAAGTTTTCCGCAGGGAAGGGCGAACTACTTCTCGAAAGCTGGGTTCCAGGGGGCAGTGGATGAGGAGCTGGTTGGCGGTCTCACATTACCGTGAAACCAGATAACAATTTCGCTTTATGACCGCGTTTCATGCCAACGAGACATACAATAATTTCCTCTAATCGACTCCTAGCGCGGAAATTGAGCAAACACTTTGTATCGAGTTGGAGTCACCGGTGGCTTGGTGGTTGGGTGGTTTCACTTCTTGGTGGCCAATACGTTCGAAATTTCGACTTTGGCATTGCCTGTGTGATGCCATTGGTCCTGGGATTATGTGTTAGCTAGTGATGCCTCTATTAGAGAAATCACGCATATGACATGTACCTACAATTTCAGGAGTTCTGAACTAGATCTACTATACGCAGAATTAGCTGAGTTCTCGCTTTACTTCATTAGTATTAAAAGATATGATTACGATTTCAAAGATTCTAGTTCTATAAAAGAAAATTCAATTTTAAAAGCAGGAATATAATAGTTTGAGTTGGAATATATGTGCCAAAAATGTTAGCAATGGCAGCACTAGTGCCTTTCACATTTGCAAGCCGTCGGCAAGTCATTTGATTTCCGGTCCGCCCACTTCTACAACGGCCCACTCTTTCACCTGCTCCGCCAACTTTAATTGCAACGTCTTCCGGCAGCGCGATTCGTGCCCCAAGAAATCAGGTTGGGAATCTGAGAATCTTAAATTTGTAACCTTCGGTGGAATAAAAATGCACTTTCCCGCTGCCGTCATTTTCAATTGCTGTTAGTTTTGTTTTCCATTATAGCTAGTTTCCTTGGTGGCATTACGAGTATTCTCGCGCCGAAGGTCGCAACATAATCTATGTTTATGTACTCCCAATGCCACACGCTGTTTTCCACTTACTCTTGTGGGGACACAGAAAATATGGGCTAGAATGGGATTGTTTTTAATTTTGTTATATGTATTATTTAAAGGCAAGTTGCAATGCAAATTCATTTAAATTTTGGTCAATGGTTTGAGTTTTGGATATCGTCTTGTTATAGCGCACGTGGGTTTTTGTTCCTGCTGAGCTTTGCGAAAAGCTTTTACGATGGTTACACTTAAAAAAATGAACTCAGCATTTCTAAGTGCTTTTTTAAAATATCATCTATCTTTTATGATAGAGGCTAATTGAATTTTCAAGTAAGCCACCAAAAAAATAATATATAATGGAGTAGACACAATGATTGCGACCCCGTGATTGGTCTATTCTTACTTGCACTTGACCAGGTCCTGCAGATCCTCCGGCGAGAGAGCGTACTCGGGATCCAGATGCGGAGCATTGCGCTTCCGGTTCCGGCTGCGGTGTTTCCTGCGCAGACCAGATGGACTTTTCGCCCTGGAACGGACGGCCAAGGCGACGTTATCGCTGCTCTGGAAGCTGGTGCTTATGCCCGGATCCTGGATGGCAATGATGGGAGCACTCGAGGAGCGTTCATCCGTGTACTTGGCCGCCGAGGCGGCAGCTCCGCCGGCCAGCTCCTCGGCCTTGGCCTTCTCGGCGAAACTATCCCGCCGCCAGGAAGGCGTGAGGGTTCTGATCACATTCTGGGTGTCCGAGAAGCCCTCGTAGTTGTACTTCTTTCGCAGACTCAGCCCCGAAAGGTACTCCAGCGTTTGCCAGACGTTCATCTTGTTCGCACCGTACGAGGGCTCCTCGTCGACTGACCAGCAAGCGTTGCGTGCAATCCGCTGGGCCAGGAGCATAGTCACCGTGGCACATCGGTTGCCCGGCGGCGGGGGTGCCCACTCCCGGGAATCGGATAGTGCAACAGTTCCGCCCGCGCCCACCACTCCGATCCCGGCGGCATCAGCCTTCATGGTTCTGAGTGACATATGCGGAACAGTTTGTTTAGGCCCAAATTGTAATTAAGTTTCCGATTCCGTTTAAAACTTCGTCCTCATCCTGCGACGACCGAACTTTATATGGCTACCGTCGCACACGTTTCTGCTGCTGGTTCTGCCTGCGATTCTGATACTGATTCTGTTTCTGATTCTGGGTGGGATCACCACCACCGTCGGCGTGGCAGCCACGTTGCGTGGCAGCCACGCGCTCGTACTCGCTGTTTATTGTATCCATTTTGCGCCATTAAAAATAATATCATTCTGATTGAGTGACGCGCCGCTTAAGTACTTTCCTTCTTCGTTGTCCTCGCACTGACACCGTTTTCCGCCTGCCGCTTTCCTTTTTATTGAACACGCAAAGTGTCGGCATTGCATCGGTGTATTATATGGTATTTCCCCGCCCCTCCCAAACGCCTTTTTCATTACTCCGTTCGCGATTGTTTTGGGCCCCCGGTGGGCCTGGCACCTCGCATCATTGTGGGTACGCAGCCCGGACAAAAGGCGAGTGAAGCCAGTGCTGATGGAGCGAGGGGTTGCCCTACCACACATTCTTTTCACATTAGCCCTATTACTAAGGGTACCTCCGCCACATAGAGGGGTTTTACTGGATTCCCTAATAAAATAGCATTTTCACGGGATATTCCAAAAATGTATCTACAGCACAGAACTTCAACGAATAAGTACTTTTACAAGGATCACATAAGAGCCCCAACTTAGTTAGTTTTAAATTTTAAATATTCAATTTCTTTACAAGTGCATAATAGAACATAGAATATTAGTATGGCTCTTATTCCTAGAACATCCTCAAAACGCTTAGCTTGTAAAGTTTTCTAAGGACATTGCACGCCCAGTTTCAATTTTCCCCGTATCTGGAAGTATCTTAACCTTGGGGCCAGACAATGCCTGACTTCGCCGCCCCAAAAGGCAAGGCAACCCGCGAAACTTGAGTTTTCCGACGACCCAGTGAGAATAACCAAGCCAATTTCCCGTTTCCATCACTCCTGTTCCCCAATTACTTGCCAAAGTTTCGCCGACAGCTGATGGCTGCACTTGCTCCCCTTCTCACCTGGGTGTTCATTTGCATTCGAGAAGTTGAGGCATCTATCAAAGGCTTCGTTAGCATCGCGTGACTGAGCGTTGTCCGGAAATTAGCACCACCCACTCAAGCCGGGGAAGATTTTTGGACAAGTTTCGAGGAGCAGGATGGGTCGCCGTGATAAATAATCTTATCAGACGATGTGATGCAATTGAGTGCGAGTATTTCCCCATCGCACACTTAATTGCCATGGAAATATTTCTGGGTGTGGCGGGGCCATACTTTATGTGTAAGTCTGACAATTTGATGGATGCAATAAAATATTATGGCTGCGGCTGTGGCAAAGAATCTTAATTGAGTGGCAGCGCACTGCATTGGCGCCAATCGGTGTCAGAGTCACCGAACCAACAATCGGCCAAGTTGAGTGCACCGCAAAAAAGGGCCAACTTTCGGCAATTGTATATGTACATATATATTTCTCTTAACATTCGTCCCTAATTTAATTGCTTAACTTAGCAAAAAAAGGCCAACTTTTGGCATACATATTTCTCTTAACTTTCGTCACTAATTAAATTGCTTAACTTAGCAAAAAAGGGCCAACTTTTGGCAATTGACATTCGTCACTAATTCAATTGCTTAACTGAGCACTGCTACTTGCTGTTTCCGATATATCTCACGCAGCAAGCAATTTGATGGTACTCCAAAAAACCATTTCTCTTGAAACTGAATCCTATTAATTTGATTTAATTCAAATAACCAACTAAAACTTCAAGTATTTCCCTCAGTGTGGCTATAAACAGCACGAAAAGCACCACACCACCCACTGAGCTGGTGGTTCGGCACTCAATGGTCTCTACTCACGCAACAATGACATCGGGATCCTCCCACCACTTCTTGTTCGAAGGCTGCAGCAGAAGGCTCACCTGTCGCCAGTGGTTCTTGTGCACCACCTTTGGATGAACATGAAGGTTAGAGATTTGGGCCACTTTGTGGAGCGCGGTGGGTAGCTACCTTGTACTTTTTCGGATCGTAGGCATTGTGATCCTTCTCCGTAAAGACCAGGCGAGCCATTTGTAGTCCTCTGGAATATTTCACGAACCTGGAGTGATTCTGGTGCTCAGAGGGAGTTCTTCACATCAAGTATCGTATTTGAAAATATAAATAATGCTTGCTTGAAACGGAATAAGGTGTGTGTGTATAGTGACTGAAGATTTTGCTTGTCAAAAGCTTAAATTGAGTGTTAAATGAAAGGAATAGTGTTGTTAAATTTTTGAAGTTACGCACGTCCACCCCAAAACTGTACCCTATTTATAAACAATTTAATTTTTTTGTTCATATATTCTATTCCTGATGAGCGCTACTGATATTCAAATGCCTTGTAATTTATCAAGTAGATTTGATTGCTTCCCGACTAAAAGCGAAAGTGGTTTGATTTACTTAGCGTTAATGGAATCTATAGATATAGCTTATATATAGAAATTCAAATTACTCTACAGAAGGGTATAATGCCAACATATCATAGTAAAATTGTAAAACATCTTTCCTTAATTATAAATATGAACTAAAAGTTAAAAAGTTTGCTTAATTTTGTATAAAATATGTGTTTTTTTTTGACTCAGGTATGGGTTTCGCACTTATGGACTCGGATTTATAACAAGTATTCCTGGACACACAAGTATGTTGGCGTTGGCTGCATTAGTGATATGCAAATGCCATCGAGAAATCTAGAGTCGGTGACCAAAATGGATCAGTTTGCCGAGAACTGGCGGGCGGCACATTAATTTCAGGGCGAGCTTACTGAAGTGAATTTAATTACATTCTGCTGATGAAATTTAAATGGACAGCCAGTGGTGCTGCGGTGGCTTGTAATTTGCCTATCCATTGTTGTTAGGGGCACCCGATACTGGTACATGGCTTTAGATTGAAGTCATGGTTATGGATTGGCCGAATCAAATGAGACCAGTCTTGTTTTCGTCATGTCAACCGGTGTGGCTAATTGTCGCGCACTTGAATTGTCGTCAATGAATTGTGGATATTGATTCGGGAAGGTCAAGGGGTTGGGGCTGGAGGTACACACATTACGTGGTTTGTTCTCTGGGCCAGTTTCCGCATTTGTGCAGCAAACACACATGGCTGATCAATCTGAGAACTGGCCTTACATGCTAGAGGGAATTATGGATCGGGGCTATAAAAGCACTTGGCCAACGGGCAGATGTCAGTTAGTTTCGTTTCAAGCGTCACTGAGATCACAGAAGCCAACATGAAGGTGAGATCGAAGGGATGTTGGATAAATACTACCAGTGTTTCAAAGCTAGATTTCCATATATTTTGCCTAAAAGGAGCATATACAGATATTTGCGTTCTTTCTAGTAATACATCTGTATGGTAACACATTGGAATACTGAAAAGCGTAATAGATTGATATCAATTTGCTGGTCTTTAGTTCATTTTGATACTGAGTCTTATAACCAACAGTGTCTTACTGAACAAATTACGAAGAAACTTCTTAAAAAGCTGAGCCTGCCACTAAATTGAGATCCCTATTTCCAGTTCGCCGTCGTCGTAGTCCTGTTCGCTTTGGCCTGGGGTGTCAACAGTTCGGTGGTGCCGCTCCTGACCTCCGCCCACGGTTTGGTGGTCGGTGCTCCCGCCGTCGCCGGTTCGGTGGCCATCCAGGCATCAGCGGTTCCCGCCGCCGTTCCGCTGGCCCTGTCCCCGGCCGGACCCGTACTCATCCAGTCTGGACCAGCGGTGGTTTCCGCTCCTGTTCCCACCGTGCTGTCCGCTCCTGCTGTGGTTGCTGCCCCCGCACCCGCCGTGGTGGCCGTCGCTGCTCCGGAGGCCAGCTATGTGGCCAAGACCCGTGGTGCTGTCCACGTGGCTCCTCTGCCCGGACACGTGCAGTCCGCTGCCTCCGTGAACCTGGAACCCGCACCAGGCACCTGGTAAACACCTGAAAGGACCCCTGGATTACCCCACCTCGATCCTGACCGCCACTGGCTCGCATCTTTACCACTTTTTTGGTTTCTTAAGTTCCCGAAAGGTCTTTACACTCTTGAGATCCCCGTGGGGTCTCGTTTCTTCAGCATTCTAAGTCAATCCTATCCAGTCATTCGCCTTCCGCTATACTCTCTGGCCTGTATTTATCCACCCCGCTGTTGTCACATGGAAATTTGTTTCTTTTGAATAAAAAAATGTTATTAAAACAATTGCAAGTGGTTTTAGTTGCTTGTCTAGTCTTAAGTAACTTTTTATATGCAATTAGCAGATGTCTGTACATCGTGTTCCCAGAAGAATAGTCCATCGACTCACCTTTTGATCGCCAATTAGAGGCCCCACCCTTTGCCCAGCTCCCACGCCTTCAAGTGCAGCAAGCATTGGACGGCCAAATGGCTTAAAACAATCTCGATCGATGGCCGATTACCGATGCCAGTAATTAATCAATTCCGGGGCCTCAGACCGGCGCTACAGCAGGGGCGTTGACAAAAGGCCGCTCCAGAAACGCGACGCAGTTGCTCGGCAGCTGGACCACTTGGTTGCCAACTCGCAAACTGCAAACCGTCGAACCGAACTGGTCTCTGAGCTGAAAACGAGAGTACTACTCGAACTGGAGCAGGGGCGGTTTGCCTTGATCGCCGCACACTCGCACTTGCAATTATTAATAGAAAAATGTGCAAAAACTTGATACGGCCGCCTTGCAGTTAAGTAATGCCCATGCAAAGTAATGCGGCTCAGACCAAATCCGCCTTAACGCCCACTTCAGACCCCTGAAACCCGTTAGGCGATGGTCCCGATTCCGAGGACTTTCCGTTGCCACGTTATTATATCTAGGGAAAAATACATGAGTATGAGTACATTAAATTACAATTTATGTCAATACATTCACTTATTATTAAACACTATTGAAAACCAGAAATTGTATCATATTTTGCTAATGATTGAAGTCAGTTGTAAGCACATTTAAAATGCTAACTCCCAGGGTATGCGATATTGTGAATATAGTAACTGCTGGCTGGATGCCCAACATTTTGACCGAAAATAGACTTGACGGAAAACATGATAAGCGCAAAAATGCCTGGGCTTTCAATAAAAGTGTCAATTGCCGGCGAAACGTGAGGCCAAGAAAGGGGTTGGGGGCGGGGGGCGGGGGCCAAGTGGCAGCTAAGCAAACGGCAGCGAAACATTTTGCCGCGTTGTTTAGTGTCGTGTCGGCAGCCAAGCCCCATGGCAATTGGCCATAAATCTAGACCCAGCCATTCACTTTTTGTTTTCTTTACCCGCCGCAAGTGGGCTTAACCCGATCGGCGGCTGCGTGCACGCAAAGCCAAAGAACGCATGACGCGGCTACCGAATGCAAGTTGGCCTAAACCGCCGCCCCACCCCCCCTGCCCCCTTTGGTGACAGTGCACCGGCAAGTTCAAGTTTACGCACTTTGCGGCTTCCTGCTTCGAACGGGTTCACTGCACTTGAGCCAAACGCACTCGCTGTTTCTGGTTTTTACGCAGAATCGAGTTCAACTTGGCCCACTGCGTTGGATTTCCTTTACTCGTGGTCTACGCAATTCGCACTTCTTGTGGCAAGGCGAAGGCAGTTCACTTTTTGGGTAGCTTTTTACCGATTTGAAAAACACAGGCTGTTCATTTCTGAGCTTATTATTGGTAATTACAATCTGACTGAGCATATTGAAGTATTAGTAAAAGTGTCTTTATGCTTGATGCAAAGCTTAGGTTTTGTGAACTATTTAATTTAACATTCATGAGAAGTAATTAATAATAAAATTAGTCCCAAGCCGATCGTATTACTTGAATTAGCCATATGCGGTCTGGCGTAATTGGCAATAAAAAGCATATAAAAATGCTACCCCAACTTTAAGGAGCAGGTGTGAATAAAAGGTACAATTATATTTGACCACACATAGAGATATTTTTGCAAGTGTACCATGGTATAACCATTACATCATTTAAGCCATCCACTTTCGCGTGGGCGATGAGTTGTTGAATAAGGTCAGCGTTCCGGCGGGGGATTAGGCCAGTTCTGCAGTCGAGTGATTCATTCCGCAGAATCGATCTGAACAAGGCGGTTTCAGAAAGCCAAAAAAGAGATATGCCGCTCCATTGCTGACTGGATTTCGTAACACCACATCGGCACGGCTTTCTTATCCGCACCCACAACTGGTTGGTGGCCTAAATATAGTTCGGCTGGCAGTTGCAACCTGTAGCCAAATACTCGCAGTCGAGTGAGCGACAAGTATCTGGCGGGTTGCATGAGCGGCAAACAAACTTGTTGCAAGCAAACACACTCGTTCAGATTTTCGTGATTTCCGTGGCAGCAGCTGGATGGCCAAAGGAAAATATGCAGGAAAAATGGGCCCACAGACCACAAATTCCGCTAGCCACTTGCTAACGTCATAAACACACTAACCAGCCCATAGAACTCGTTTAATTAGCAACAATTGTGTTCGTTGTGACAGTTGTGTAGTGACAACCGCGACCACTAAAGTGGTTGATTATTGCCCTCTCTTAATGACCATTAGGCGTCCGCTTAGCATGCCAATTGTAATTGGATTAATTACCCGCAGATCTTGATCGCCAGCTAACGGTTACGGGCCGGCAGGCAGCACTACTTGACCAATTGATTACGTTACGATTGCAATTGCATCACTTGCCCCTCTCGGTTCGATTTTAAACAAAAAATCTGCCTCTTGGAGGCCGCCCACTCGAAAATTCCTTGCCAGAGTCCAAGTGTGATTGCCTATGCAACCAGGCTAGTTAAATTAATTTAGTTCGAGCAACAATTAACACTAAATGCGTTGCACTTTGGTCGACCACTAGATGATCTTACCAAAATACGAGTATGCCTTTTTTCTTTGTATTTACTTATAGAGTAGAGTCTACAAGCACATTGTATTTATGCACTTAATATGAAATATCTGGATCATATGAAGAGTACCAAGCTGACACTTAAAAATACCAGAGTACCAAGCCATTTTACTTTTCAATTTACATTTTTCGATTAAAGATAGCAAATTAAATTTAAAATGCCGATGTAAATTTGTAAAAGTGTTCACTTTGCAACTCCCTTTGTCCACAACCATAGATATTACCAAGTTTTTAAAACGAGCATGACAGGTGAGCCAGGTGAGCCGCAATGGAAGCTTCACACACAGTGTATGAAAGCCAAATTAAATAATGAGCAGCAGGCCAGAGGTGTTGGTGGTGTGGTTGTGGGTGTGGGTGGAAATGCTGGTTACCAAATGCTGGCAAAAAGCCCACCCCACTGGGTCTCCATCTGGTTGCCAGCAACAAGTTGCAACAATCGGCAGCCGCCAAATTGAATTCAAGCGTGGCTAACATTGATTTCCCCCCAAGCCGATCACCGCCCCTCTCCTCTGGCCAATTAGTTTCATACTGTTAATGCTATTTTAATACGGAATGCGAGTCCATCTGACCAAAAGTGGGCGTAGTCGTACGGGGAGTTGTGATAAGGACCCACCGTATAGCCTAGCATGATGCAATCGGGCGGTGATATTGCAACAAAGGCTGGTGCTGGTGCTTTGTTATTAAAATGCCATTAAAATTGGGACAAGCGCCTAAATTTGATATACAGTCAGACAAATAAATAGTGAGGTTTAAGTAATAATAATAATAATTAAGAGGAATTCCAGCCAGCCATCCTTGTTTTACAAAAAAATTAATGAATAAGTCCTTGCGAAATTTGGCTTTTGTTCAGTTTATTGTCAAAATATGTTTAGACTGCCTTTGAAAGTTGCTTGTTATTGGCTACATACCTAGCCAGTACATGCCCCTTTGGCTGCGGCACACGTTGTTTGCCATTGTTTGGGTTGTGCAACTGCCACGGCGTCAATCTGATTTATGCCACTTGACCGGACTGCTGTCTTGCCGCCTTAGGAACCCAACGCCTTGCCGCTTTGCCGCTCGGACGCCTGCGCACTCGCCTCGCAGCGGAATATCAGAACTACATGTCCAAGATCAATGCCAGGTCTCCAGTGAGCACGTTGCTCATGCCGGGCCACTGGGTATCCGGAATTCGAGGCGGGGCACTGCTAGATGGCGGAGTGGGAGTTCACATGCTGTGCACCTGGTCACAGGCAGTTTAGGTATGCAAATGCTTGCCACTGACAGACATTAGGAAGCACTATACTTTACCACCGAATGCATGAAGCTTTATGAGGTTTTTAATATCTCTGAAATGAGTGTCGTACAGGATACGAAGATAGGAATTTAACTAGTTGAGGTTTACGACAGCGAATTAATAGGGAAAGACAATAGCTACACCCATGATTGTAATGCTTGTAATGCGCCTGTATTCAGTGCAGCTGGCCGCAGGAAAAGATATAAATGCAACGGGCCATTTGCATACAACACAACAACATGGGGAGAGTATAATTCATATGTATGCTCAGTCTAAACCTTGTAGCCGACCAGGTGACGACGACCGATGACCTCGCCCATGTAGAACCAGGTGATCACCTCCACGGTGACCAGCATATTGAGCCAGGCCTCAGCGACGGTGACCTGGGAGAGCCCGGACTTCTTCAGCTGCCCCTTCATATCCTTCTTGGAGGCCTTCTTGGCGGACTCCGCGGTCTGCTTCAGCTTCTGGAAGTCCGCGGGCAGCGGCGGCGACAGCTCCACCTTGGCGTATTTCCAGAATTCATCGAGCTGCGGACGTGCTGCCACAATCATTTCTGCGTAATACCACATTGTTATTATATTTGGCCTAAATACTGGCTGGCTAGAGCCAGTAGAAGTGCACATCTTACTGTTGGCCAGTGCCTTTGCCTTGGCAACCAATTGACTCATTTTTTTGATACAAAAATAAAACAAGATAAGCAAATTTCTGGAAATTTCACAATTTCACGTCGCAACGTTCTCGTACAAAGTTGTCAAACTGAGAGCTGTCAAAAATGATTGGACTTTCCAACACTGGGCTGCTTCGATTCGGTTCGATTTATGTCCCTGCCGAAAATTTACTAGGCAAAATGTGGGGGTTTATTTTATAAGCTTAGCTACACGCCAGCTGTTTCATTTTGCATGCAGCTCCCGTGCCAGGTAAATGTGTTTTGAAAATTTGCATAATTGCTGCCTGGCTGAAAACAACCTGCGCCAATTATGCGATTTGCGGGCGATAAACTGGCCGATCATTACCAAACCGACAAGATGGTTATTACCCGCCCACTTGCCAAGCGAAACAATGGTACAAAAAGAATAGAAAGACGGAGCACGCCCTAAAAGATTGGCCTGCATTGTGTCCGCTGGTCATCGAAATGAAAATCTCGAAATGTGCAATAAAACGCGCTGGCTCTTTCGTCATCAGTTCAATCGAATTGGTTCGCCACAATGCATGTTTTAGGCAAGCTGCTTTGCTAATGAAGCTCTAATGGCCTCGAGGAGAAGGGCCCGTTCTTCAAATGAAAATTGATCTTGTTTTCTCGCATAGTCAATCTAATTGCGCCAGTTAGACGAGTATGACATTCCACCAATTCCTATGCATAATAATGTTGGGTGTGATAAATGAATCGCATATATTTTTGCTGCAGCTGTCCTAAATGGGTTCAGTCTCGCATTTGGCCAGTTTGACACTGTGACCCAAGTCACAGGAAAAACAAAACGTGGCCAGTTTTTTGATCTGCATGTCCATGACGATTTCAAGTTGAGGCTGCAAGTCGGCGGGGCTTTAAGCCAAGTGCCCCAAACATGGTAATGTAGTCCACCAATTCGATTTGCTCTTTTGCATTTTTATTGTTTGCCAATGCTGACAGCCTTTGATTATATTTATTCTTGGGCGTTGCCCCGCCACAATACGAGAATTGCCTTCTTATTTTTGGCGGAGCAGCGGGCAGCGAAAACAAGGCAAAACTGCAGAGGCTAATTGTTTATTTAAAGCACTGCGCAAAATTCCAGTGCTCTGGAATTTGCGGCTGAAAGTCATGGCCTTAAAATTCTCTTATAAAGTAGAATTATTTGTACGATTTCGAAATTTGTAAAAGTTGGTAAAATAAACGCAATTGTCTAAATTTTTTTGGAAAAACAAATGCTGTCTATAAACTTTATTATGATTAGTGAACTATTTGCTGTCCATAAATCGAAATTTCGAAATGGCCACCAACATTTAATTGCTACATTCAAATAAGTGTAATGCATTTTAAGGGTTTCCACATTGATTGTCCAGGGATATAAAACCACAATTTTAACGGCTGACTAACTTTTTGGCATTTAAAGCTCAATTAATATGGTGCATTGATTTAGTCGTTGCAGAGGCTAAGTTCTGAGTCCGCCTTGGGGCGAAGTAATTGTTATTGCAGTGTAGGCACGCGACTTTATTTTACTTAACTTTATTTTACTGCACAGAAATTCCGCGCCCCATGCTGCAAGCCAAACACACCACTACCAGCGAATTATATAATTGCAACAAAGAATTCTGAAAGCTAATGCAGCAGATACTTGGTTTGTGCCATTGCAACTGAATGCTTTGGGCCACATGCCTATGACTTTTTAAATGTGTTTGTGCTTTATCAATATAATTTGGTGTTTGTGGCAATTTTCAAGCCGCTGATGGAGCCAGCCGATTGTGTCGGCTCAATATCTACGCTTGGTTATGTGTGTTTGTGCTTCACCCTCGGCTGTGAATTCTTGTTAATACAGTCAAGCTTCTTACCGGGCATTCTGCAAATATTTGAAAAGTCTTCAAGCGAAAATTATAATATAATAGAATTAACATGTTAAATTGTATTTTTTATTTTAAGTGACAATGTATTTTGAAAGGTATGATTGAAATACAACTACATTCGCAAAGTAAAGGAAACATTTTCTTTAATTGGAATTCTCATATTTGTAAACAATTTCTTTAATAGGAATTCTCATATTTGTAGAAATTCTCAATCAAGGATAATAAATTTGAGCCCGATGAACTTTTAAATGCAGATTTTTCGCTAAGGACCTAATACTTATGGCTTGTGTTGTCCTTTTTACATGTTGCGAACTGTAGAAGCTTGACTGCGGTAATTTGCGCAACCATTGACGCCCGCCGCCCCTTTTCGTTGGAGAGCGGGGCGTGGCCTAGGGGGTGGTGGTCAGCTGAGCGAGGGGGATGGGTGGGGAACGGGAACGGGAAGCAGCACCCAAGGCGCAGATCTTCGAGCAGCTGGGCAGTGAAAGGCCAAAACCCGGAGCGGATCTACCACAGTGGGTATGGGTACTCCAATTCTGCCCGAGACTTGGGCTTGGGCGTCGACGTCTCTAGAGCAGAGTCTCTCGCGCCATTCGCCTCTCTGGCGCATTTTGATATATATTTTCTTGACTTGGGGGGCAGGTTTCGGTTTTGGATTTGGAAAAGCGAAGCAAAGTCCGCGCCGCGTTTTTCGTATATAAGTTGCCACAATTTGGTAGTCGAAATCAGAATCAACTCGTTCGCTGAGTATTCAACAAGCACTTCTCCTTCAACAACCCAACTTCAACACCCACCCCAAACAAACAACATGAAGGTGAGGACATTGGCAGGAGTGCTCCAATTTTCAAAAGCATTGTACCAATTTACCACCGAGTTTCTAAAGAATTATCCTCGCAATCCTGTGACTAATTCCGACTAATTCTTAAACCCTTTTCCAGTTCGCCGTTGCCGTAGTCATGTTCGTGTGCGCCCTGGCTGGAGCTCATGCCTCGTGGGCCCAGATCGCTCCCGGCGTCTCCTATGTGAGCCCCGTGGCCCATGGAGCTGGTCTGTGGAATGGTGCCTGGAATGGTGCCTGGAACGGTGCCTGGAACGGCGCCTGGAACGGTGCTCCCTGGGGCGCCCCTGCCGCCGTTGCCGTCCACGCCAGCGCAGCTCCCTGGGGTCTGACCGGTGCCGGCTGGCACGGCGCTGCTATTCCCGGAATCAACCTGGCCCAGGGACCTGGTCTCGCCGCCGGCCATGGCCATGAGGGCGTCTATGTGGCCAAGACCCGTGGTGCCATCCACACCGCTCCCCTCGCCGGACACATCAACTCCGCCACCTCCGTGAACGTGGCCCCTGCCCCCGGAACTCTGTAAGTCGGGAGTGACGGACAAACCATACCCAAACCGATGCCAAACGGAGCGGATGGATGGCAGTGTAACTGATCTCCAACTGCTTCAGCGACTTTCCACGACTACTCCAACCGGATGAATACCCATCTCTCTCTGTACACTTATTGTTAAGCACACCGCTCTTAGTCCCCCCGATACGAACACGATCCTGATCTTGGGTCCATGTCCACATCCTCTGGACATTTCCCAACGCACTCAGCAATATATAAGTCCAACAGCAATTACAACAACTACAACAAACCAACAAACGACAGCATGTTAATTTTATTTTTTGAGAACTCTTCAAATACTTCCCATCTGCTTTCTGCTATCTACTATCTACTATCTACTATCCTGTCCTCCTCTACTCTACAACTATCTCTGTACACTTTTATATCTATCACTATCTGGCATATCGCCCTAGATATGCCCTGTCAACCTGTAAATATCCCATTGTATTCTAGTAATCTGCAACAATTTAAAGATTGACGAAAGCGTTATAAATAAAAGCAATCAGCGTTTTTTATACGAACTAAATATTGTGTTTTTGCAAATATGGGCTTGAAACAATCGGGTCATTTTAAAAATTCTTGGGAAATTTTTCTCAACCAAAAGCTTTAAGTTCGAGTTAATGTGTATATCTTATTTTTTATATATGTTTTTTTCTAAAAACAAATCATCATTGCTATATATCTTGGTACGTTTGCAGAATACTTATTATCCCATATTTGAATAAGTGCTTAGCCCTCATTAAATAGAACTAAATCATAAACTACATACTAGTTAATTATAACCTTGGGTCTTTTGTTTGCACCTGCTCGACCTTGAAAAGCCGACAAATTGTTCAATTGATTTCATATCTGGCCAGAATGTCTAGATCAAATGTGTCTTGTCTTTAAGTGTCTATTATTATAGTGACAGTCCTAATTTGCTTGGCCATAGAACGGTAGTCAAGCTGTGGGCCAATGGTCATTAGATCGAGTTAATTGGAACAGAGCCAGCTCATATGCACGTATTGGGCCACAGGGCGTATGCTTAATTATGCAAACGCTTAGCGCTAATTACAGATCGCTGGACACAGAGACCAAGTTTCGGTTTCAGTCAGCAGCTGGGCTTCTGGTGCAGCAAAATAATTGGCACACCGAGTAAATTATAGCAGTCGCTAATTACAGATTATCATCGCGCCGCAGGAATTCAACTTGAACTTTTTTTGGTGCCTGCTAAGAGATTTGGCCAAGACTCGATCGATCTCACCCACATTGGCATCGAAACGAGTTTTCCCCTCCTGCAGTAATTGAATTGTCTTTGCTGGGCTGAATTTGCACTAAAGTCTGACTTAATTGCGGCACCTAATGGGTTTGCGATATATTTATGTGGGCCGTTCCAGGCGGTGGACACCCACGCTCCAGACCTCCATTTCTGCCAATTGAGTGTTGCGCAATGGCGATTCCATTAGGTAATCGGGGGTGGAAATAATTAGGGCAATAGCCTGGAAAAGCGGATAGGCCTGGAGTGCCTTTCAGCTGTGCCAATTGCAGATTTCGGGAAATTTATAGTCAACACACGAATTTGTTATTTTCATGAAACGAAATACGTGAAAAGTGCATCGAACTAACACAGCAGAGAGTTAACCATTGTGCCTTTCATTTAATATAGTTATATTGTTCCAATTGATTATAATTGAACTTGGGTTTACAAATTTTACATCTTTTTTTATATAAATAAAGCAGATTTACGTTTTTGTTCGCTGTAAATTGAGTGCTGTACTTAAACTATTAAATATCCCATAATTATATTTCAATATCAAACGATGAAGTGGGCTGTTCCACGCATATCATTAACCCTTAAGACACATAAATCAGATATTAGCCGGCCTTATACAGGATACGGATCGCTCCATAATTGGAATCGTGTTGTAAATCAGACTGAAATGCTAATCGCGCACAAACAACAATTAAGTAATTAAAGTGACGGTGACGGTGTGATGCAGTGAAAATCAACTTACCGGAACTGCAGCTTAAAAGTGGGTTGGGCCACTTACCTAGACAGTTGGACCCACATGGCCACGGGATGGAAACACACTCACGAGAATGCATTGTTGTGCATTGCGGTGCAGGTTTGAGTGGTGCGGGTACGGTGGTTCACCAACGAGTTGGATCATTTGAAGTGGGTTATTGTTAAGGACCACAGCTTAAGATACAAATTAGGCACTTTAACTTATTAATTTTTCAAGAAAAAGTCTTTGGGAAATGCATGTACGTAGCTCGAACAATACAATAGGCCAATATCAAAGTAGGTGGAGAACTAGTTCTTGAACAAACCCGCTTTGAAGGCGTTCAACCTGGCCGTTTGATCCGATCCGATCCGATACGATCCGAGCCGCTCAGATCCGAGGCATGTCATTAGAGCTGACCATATGCATGCGGAGCAGCGCCAGCAGTGTCAGCAGTGTCCACCGTGTCATGGTGTGTGAACTCTCACTTTCATGAACCCTCCGACTTGGTGGTTTCCTATGGCTGATGTGGTCAGCAGCGGGGTATAAAACTGGCCGGCAGCTCCGTTGGCAGATCAGTTCAGAACAAGAGTTCAACCAGAGCGCAACCCAAAACCCACAAACAGCACCATGAAAGTGAGTTATTAAACATAAATATCCTGATAGTTGTCAAAAACGCAGCGCATGGATTGAGCCTTCAACAAGGAAGTTGTAACCCAAAACAAACTTTTCGCATTTAACAGTTCGCCGTCGCCGTTATCTTCACTTTGGCCCTCGCCATGGGCGTGCAGTCGTCTGTGATCCCCCTGCTGTCCCAGGTGGCTGGACATGGACTGTCCTACACCGCCGTCTCCGGACCCGCCGTGGTGGCCTCTCCCTGGGCCCTTCCCGCCGCCCACTGGCCCGCCGCCGTGAACGTGGCTTCGTGGCCTCCGGCAGCGATCCACGCCGCCGCTCCTGCCGTGGTTGCTGCCCATGCTCCCGCTGTGGTTGCTGCTCCCTCCGTCGTCGTGGCCCCAGTGGCCCACAGTGGCGTCTACACTGCCCAGACCCGCGGTGCCATCCACACCGCTCCTCTGGCCGGACACATCCAGTCGGTGGCCTCCATCAACGCCGCCCCCGCTCCCGGAACCTTGTAAGGAGGAACCACCTAGAATCCCCTTGCCGATCGGACCATTGCCTCCACCACGGAAACTGCCATTGCTGGGAAAGCCCCTCCATCGAACTTTGAGGGCTCCCCACACTGTTTTGTAAATACATTGTATATTTAGACATATATAGACAGGGTACTCGCACCTAGCACCTGAACAGGATCTTTTCTCACCTGTCCCAAAAACGAAGTCATCCAAATTCCCTTCCGACCCAAGCACCCGGCCACTTTTGTGGCTGCCTTTTTCTCTCGCTTACCTATTTATTTAGCATACATTTTCCAAGCATTCCTGTGAAAAACCCCACGAGTCTTCCTTCGAACGGAATGCCGAGTGCATTTTGGAGGAGGAAATGCTTGTACATCTTGCCAATAAAGAAAGTGTAACTAAAGTTTAAACGTTTTATTTTTTAGATGCATGAAAACCTCTGCAGCGTGGGGAGCAAAATATTCTTATACGTAAACTCTATTGTATCAACTACAAAATGTTGACTAACATTTTTAAATTTTTATAGTTCCTCCTTTTTTCCACTTTACAGAATAATAATTAAAGATAATGTAATGCACGTAATGTATACAAAGCATGTTTTGGTCAAGCCAAAATTAAGATATATATTTCTTGCCTGACAAATTCCCACAGGCACAGTCTATTAGTATACAAAGCCCGTTCGCTCTCCATCTATTATCATCGCAGTTGTACGCCTCCGAATACAATTGATTGACTCATTGCCTCAAATCGACACTACGCTGGAACCCCTTCCTCCATAATAAAGTGTGATTAGAGCAAATCGGATCGCAAGCCGAAATGTCAAGTTCATGCGCATGCGCACAGTTCCAACTGCGTTCAATGCGAAATGCAGCCACAAATCAAATCGAATCAGCACTTGGTTCCCCCCCTATATCATTCGATTTGCTATGGCAGAGTCCAACTGTTGCGTGATTTATACCCTCCCACTTTGCCAGCCCCTCTTGTTATTTTCCCCCTTCGGGTTCCAGCAACTGCGGTTTACAAAGTCGCGCGCTTGTTTTTCATGTTTCTAGTTTCGCGTTTGTTGCCGCATTTGGCCGTTGAATTAAATGCGTCAGTGTATCAATAGCAATAACAGTCGAACTCGAACTTCCTTCAACTTTTTCTCACCACACCTCCTTCTAAGTGCACTGAACAAAATTTAGGAACATTTATCAAATATATACTTGTATTGTAAGGTGCATATGTTCAATTTAACGCCAGCAAGTGCTCTATCTCAAAAATGATATAATTTCCGTAAGATATCTGTGTACATTATTTCCAATATTTTTGTAAAATATTGAATGTTTTCTTCTGTGCAACGTCTAGCGATTAAATCTGTTGTATTGAACTGACTGCCATGATTTATTGTACGCCGGCGGGCAAGAGTCAAGCGTCAATCGTGTCGACAGTCTCCCCTTACTTGGAGTCCGACTCGAAAATGGCAAGAAATTTCCTACTGGGCTTCGTTTTGGCAATAGCCGGTAATTGACCGGCAAAGAGAAAATCGCACAGAAGTCGCAGGGGTCAATACGAAGTTGGCGTGCTCTTACGATCGTTCCTATATGCAATTTAGAAAATTGATACGACATGTTATACATAATTAGCACTTTGAACGTACTTAACTTAATGTAATAATCGCAACCAATTTGGTGGTATATAAAATCGATTCCACATGCTGAGACTTATGAGTTTTACAAGCTGCATGCATAAAATTGAAGCATGGTGTAGTTTTCTTTAGTAAATATTATCTCTGATAATCTCTGTTTTTCTCTGTTAGCATTAAGAAAATTTGTTATTATTACTGAACTGTATCTATAAATTCTGTGTACAAATATTGGATCACTGATAGCTTAAATATTTTCAAACCCATAGCTGCTGCTCTTTCTCCCTGTCACTCTTTGCATTTCTCCCGAAGAGTAAAAGTAGCGCACAGCAGCAGTTGCGATAAGAGACAGCAGCAACATCTGCACTAACACAGCAACATCAGCAGTCGCAACGGCAACACCAGCAGCAACACCAGCAACAGCAGCAACACCAGCAACATTCGCCTGACTGACATTCGGCGACTATCTGGCTGTGTTTTTACTCTTCAGTTTTCAGTCGTTCGCTGGCAGACGCGCCGACAACGTGCGTCGCAGTCGCAGCAGTTTCCGCCGATTCGGGTTCAGATCGAGATTCGGGTTCGGACTAACATTCGCGCAGGGCTGGTTTTCCCCCTGCAATTTTTGCGTGATTGGAAAACGTGTCGCCTGAACGAAATAGAAAAGTGCATTGTTTGCAGGTGCATGCAAATGTGAGTTTCAGATGGCTGAGATTACAATCGGACGATAAGGGGACACATTGAGTTTATGTGGCGTCAATATCGCAGTCCATGTATGCATTGTCTTCTTGACGGGCGGAAAGCTGTGAAAATGGGTTGGATCTACGGTGGGAGGGCAAGGTACTGCCCACAGACTTGGCTAACACTTGAGACGCCAACTTTTTGCGTCTTTTGAACGCAAGCAAGTACACTCAGAGATAAAGCACTCCAAAAAGAGCAAAGACTTTTCCGTATTTAATCAGCTTATAAGGTATTTTATTTTTAGTTCGAAAATATCATAATCCAATAGTGAATAAAAAATTTGCATTCAATTTAATTAATTAAAACAGCTACAACCAATTTAATTCAAAAACTTTTGTCTTTGAATGCGGCAGCAACATTTCTTCACTGTGCAGATATTTGTTTGTGCTTTCCTCTTGGCCATTTCAAATGTTTTTTCGCAAATTTATTGCGCACACTTGAGTGTTTGTTTGTAAACATTTCGATTCGAGTAATTGGACACGTTCGCCTCATTCGGTGCAGTCACTAATTTACTCAAAAATGGAGCCGCACCAAATTAACAGCGTCATCGGCGGCCAATACGCGTAAACATCGAAAGCAGAAAGTGTACAGGCGGAAAATTTAGCTTGAATTACACAATTCCCACAGCTCCCAACAAAAAACAGCTGATTTTCAAACACCCTGTAACGCACTCCCTCCCCTCACTTCCCATTGCTTTACTTGTTGAAATGTTTTTGGCCAAGGAAAACACGAGAGCCTCTTCCTCGCAGCCAATGGGACGTATGAGCAATGTCAAGTATACGCTCCGCACGCCACTGGCATTGAGAGCGGAGAGAGTGCCAGTGGGGGTGGGAAAGAGCACCATCAGCTGTCCATTGCCCCCGCTCAGTTTCGCTCTTCTCTGCTCCTCTCTTACATTCATTTTTATCGGCTTTGTTGTGATTCGATGCGATGCGATGCGATTCGATTCAATTCGATGGCTTTGTTTTTAAAAATACATTTTCATTTCTTTTGATTTTCCCTTTAGTTGGAATTTTCTTTGTTTGGCGATACTGATAATAGAATAGGTAGTGGCTATTTAAAGGAAGACAATAAGTACATTGGACAACTTAATGGTACTCATTGTAAATAATTTAAAATATTTTAAAATATTTTCTCGTTATTGAAATATTTCCTCTAATCCTTTGTACGAACCATTTGGAAATACACATTTCTAGGGCGCCGTTTTTGAAAGAATTGCTTAGAATATTTTAAGAAGTAAACACTGATTTGATAAATCTGGATTTCTATTTGAAAGCTTATGCCCCAACATTTTTCCATTTGTACAAGTAATTTTAAATATATGTATTTTTGCATAGCATGCGCACCACTGTGCTTCGTATATAATCGTTGCACACTCAAAGGCACTCACATACGCATTGAACGAAAAAACTACGTAGAAAGACTTATATATTTAATTAAATTTGTGGGTTGTCCGGCTCTTTGTTGTTGGTGGTGCCTATAATACTGCTTCATTTGGCGTAGCTTGAGAACGGCAATCCCCATTAAATAGCATCATTTGCCGCTGAGCATCGGAGCTGATTGCTTGGCGCCCGGAGTAATCAAAATCGGGTTTAATTTCGAATAAGGTTCAGAAGTGCGGCGTGAATCCGCTGGCGGCAATAGCCATCTAACACATTCGAAGATAATCTGAAGCGCGCATTTCTACAACTTGTTCTTCGTGAAGTGACCCAGAAAAACTCTGCTGAATTGACCCAGTATTGTGCCAAAAAAGAGAAAAATTAAAACCAAGCAAAGCAAAACAAAAGCGGAACAAATCGGCATGAACTTCGTTAAAAGTTCTAAATCTAAACCATTTTGACTGAGCCATCTGAGTCGCGAGTGTTTGGTTTTCTCACCTGTCCAGCACCTCTTCACCTGATGACCCAACATGAAGGGCATCTGCGGCGAGCAGCTCAACAATTGCATGCTCCTGGGCGACTGTGAGAATAGTGAACATGGTACAGAGCTGTCCGGTGATTTTACCGGGGAGCCAGTGGAAACGGAGTCGTCAGCCGGAATGGGAGGAAGTCTGGCCCTAGCCGCCCGTCGAGTCCGAAGCCGGCAGGTGCACAGCATGGCCGTGCGATCGGGCAGTGCGTATGATACCCTGGAGCGACCATATCGGCATGATAAGTGTCGTGGCCGCTGGGCCAAATCGGCGGACTTCTACTTCGCCAGCTGCACACATGCCTTCAGTTCGCTGGTCTTCTCAGAGCTCTCCACCTTTGGAATACTTCATGGCGGTTGGCGTAAGTACCCTTAACAATGGCTAAAGGCTGAGTAAAGTGCACTTTCGAAGTAGGCACACTAACAGAGATCGCAAATATATATATACTCAAAAAATACTTCAAAAAGTGCCATTTACACTCTTGAATAGGAATTTCGTATAATTTTTGCGCCCTTTACTTGATCCTATTGCTGGTGGTTATCAATAAAATTCAATTAGCTAAAGCAAAGGTTATCAGAGCTGCGTTAATGACGGCTTTTTGCGTTTGCTTTGAAAAGTAATCATAATTTGCGAGCGATAAGGAGGAGACCGCAAAATATGAAAGCCCCTGTTCCAGAATCCCAGTCTTCAACCGACCTTAATTACATCCAAAACTGGTTTTTCTAATGATTTAATTGTTGGTCATCAACAAGTTAATTTCATATTTAAGATCACATAGTAATGCACATAGTGCAATTAATAGATGTGCAATTTATAGATAATTATTATGAGTATTGTCGTTTCATATTAAAACGGCAACCGACAGTGCAGTTCTTTAAATTACAAATTTCCTAAACTTATATACTTAATCCTCTTTTTATAGTTTTGTTTATAATCGCCTACCTGATGGGAATGCTCTTTTACTCGCTGCCCATATTTTTGATCCAAGCCTTTTTGGGACAGTTTTCATCATCTGGATCCGTATCAGCATTTCGCGTGGCGCCCATATTTAAAGGTTAAACACTTGTTAAATAGTTGCCAACTGGGCAATGCTTCAACTAATGGGGCATACTTTTAGGCATTGGCTACGCCATTCTGCTCCTCAACCTGGGAACGCTCACCTATTACAGCATAGCAGCTGTAGTGCCCCTCATCTATACCGTGAATTCCGTACACCCGGTGATACCCTGGATGAGTTGCAACAACAGTTGGAATACCCAGGAGTGTTCCTTGCACGAGAACTACGACGTCGATGTGAGTAGGGTAGATATTTATACATCCATTCATATTTAGATAGGCTGTGTTTATAGGACTACAGGGTTGATCCCCATTCCACGGTAGAGTTTTTCAGGTAAGTCATAGTCAAATTCGCATTGAGCTATAGCTCACGTTGTCTATTTCCGTAGATCAACGATCGCCTCTACCGAAAAAGGATCCAGTTCCATGAGCATATCCTGGTCCATGCTCATTGGCGTCTTGTCCATTTGGCTGGTGGTTCTGGCCCTGCTGCTCAAGCCAGTTGCTTTTGTAAGTATACCTTGTAATTCTAATAATATATGTAATTAGCAGCGCTAGCTTTTAGATTGGAAAAGTTCTGCGATGTTCATGCGTGTTGATGTTCGCCTTCTTCGTCGCTGTGTTCTTATACTTACTCATTCACGAGCAAGTCACGGTTGATACCCTGCATTATTACTGGCTGCCCCAGTTGGATAGCTTTGACAGCGTCCTGGCTACGGCTCGCACCGCCCTCCTGATGGCCGGAGGGGCCTTGGGACCCGGATGGGGCAGCATCATAACCTTGTCCAGTTACAACAACTTTCGCAGAGATGCCGAGAGACTGAGTATTTGGGTGTGCCTTACTCATATCACCATCGGATTAATGGGACTGCTCTGCTGCAATGTGGCCCATGATCACTTTGAGGGTGGGGGCTCTTCAAATTGATTTTAGAACAATTCAAATTTTAAAATATTCTTTTTCAAACAGACCACGTGGGTATGATGCCATTGCACGTGGATGAGAAGCATCATATGCAGTTCCTGTATCTCTGCTTCTCCTACTTGTTCGGACGGTTTACGACGACCCCAAATCTCTGGGCATTTATCTTCTTTGGCATGATATTTTTATCAGAACTATGTGCCTTGGTAAGTTTCGTTTTGCATTCACTTGGGAATTATTTGTAAATTTCCTGTATTTTTCAAGATCATCCAAATGCTGTCCGTTATTACTGCCTTGTTTGACGAGTTCGAAACTTTGCGTTCAAGGCGAATGCTAGCAATTTCTTTGCTGGTCTTCTGCCTCACAGCCTCCTCTGTATATTTTTGTACTCGGGTGAGCTTGAAATCTGCCCATTTCTGACAGCATTCTATAATATTGAATTTCCATTTCAGTTGGGTTTCAGTCAGCTGACTCAGCTGCCAAATTTGGCGGTGTTTACACACTTGCTTTTTTCAGGAATACTCGTTCTAATGACCACTTGGGTTTATGGACGCGTGCGATTCCAGTGCGACTTGCAGTTTATGCTAGGCAAAACGATCTCAAGTTTCAAAATTTTCTTTATACGCTTTGCCACGCCCATATTTCTGGGACTGTGTTTGGTGAGTAGTGGTTATATTAAAATGTAAGGCTGTACCGAAAATGGTGCTTGCCAATGCTAGTATTGATTTCAAGTATTTTCGTTTAGATACTTCTATCTGACTTGTATCTTTGTAATTTCTTGCAGTTCCAACTTACCTATTTATTTACGCGTGATCGCATACACGACGTCCTGATTTACGTGAGTCAGGGCTTGATTCTCCTTACGGCCATGTCTTATATGGTTTACAAGGTATGTCGGACGAATGGCAATTGGCGCCAGCGATTGCAACAGTGCCTCGCACCACATGATTGGCATCCGGTGGATGCGGACAACCGGCGATTTTACGAGGAAATCATGGGCATCTCGGAGATGCTGGTCTTAGATGCCAATGCCAACACCACATAGTGCCTAAATATCGAATACTCCCTAGATCAAAACTCAATACTTAAAGCGTCGCCACTTGACAAATGAACTGAACTGAACTCACTTTTATTATACACCCATACGCGGTAGCACTCACACATACAAAAACCACAATAACAAACACGCACACTAGTGTATACGTAAGCGGATCAATTGGAAATGGCGATTGTTAGTTCTTATAATGAAGTTGTACTGATATTTTCCAAATGCTAGCTATAGAGAACAATATACTGGTGATATTTAGTAGTTTCCTACTAAAATGTTCAACAAGCTTCGGCCAAAAATATTGTTACGAATTAATAAAATTTTACCTTTTAGGCATTGAACGAGTTTAATCATCTTTTTGAATTTGGAAAAAGTATAAGGTAGTCATTAATTGCATTAATTTTTTATAAATCTTCGGAGACGGCCAAGTTTGAAAAACTACACTACATGAAAATTGTGACCCTAGTTCTTTTTTAGTGTGCCTTGTGCGATTTCTGCTCCTTCCTGTAGCTCTTAAGAGCTGTTAAGACAGATATATGACTCCAAGGGCAGATGATAGAGTGGGGCAGTGTAATATCCGTGCAAACTGGAATCCAACGGGTTTGCGACCAACATAATGTTGTATAGTTGGATTTTTTCCTTCGGACAGATTGTTTTGGTTCGATTTGGATCGATTACGCAGGTGAATTGGCTGCTATATTTATCAAGTGTTTGGCCAAACCTATGGACTTTTATTTACCATTCAATGCTTTTATTGTGTCATTGTACTCTAATATAAATGTGATATCACTTTTTATTAATAATATAAATTTTGATGCCATTTGCTCACATAGTCTGCTGCATTTACAGCTCATTTTGCTGGTTTTCTGGATCTATGGACGAGAAAGTTTCCAGCGGGATATGGAGTTCATGCTGGAAGGTCTTTATACTTCGCTTCACAACTCCAATAGTTTTAGTCATGTGTCTGGTTTGTTATGCAATTATATTTGCCTGTTGTTTTAAATAATCATATTTCTCTTAACTACTAGGTGGAGGGTACCGTTATGTTCATTTTGGTTCATTCTTATTCCAGTAGTGGTCGTCGTGATTTACCATATCTTACCATATTTTACCATATCCACCAGAGCGCTGTTACCTTTTGCGAACGCTTTCAACGCACCTGGCTAATCACCAATACCTGGTAACCTGTTGAGATGGAGCACTAGTCTACTTGTAAGATGGTGTAAGTATATAATCATTCCTGGAATATCATTTTATAGCAGGCGGCAAAGCATAACTTGTTGCACTGACTGTTAATGAGCTCACAGTAGTCTCGTAAAATATAGACGGAAAATCAGTTAAACATCTGTATAGCTGCGATTATAGACAACTAGCCGGAGATGGCTAGATCGTGTGCGGAACAAACAGTATGGGCCAGTCATACCTGAATCGATCAGGTTCACTCGTCTGATTGTTCGGCAGAACGTATGTAGATATCTCGGAAACGTTAACAAAGTTGCGCTTAAAAAACCTGTGACGCCCACATTGTTTGTACATCGGGAGAGAGCTTTTAAAAACGTGCAATTATTAATGTAGCTATTGGTAAATTATGGTTATAGGCAAAGTACGTTTATTGACGTCATTGTAGTGTATAAAAATGCCTTTAATTTAAAAATGCATTTTCAGTGACTCACTTCTTTTGAGAACGTGCTTGTTGCAACATGTACAAATTAATATGTATCACATAAAATATACATAGTAATACGTATTGAGTTATTTGTAAACTATTTACTGTTATTACTACTTATTCCTGATTAGAATTCTTTCATTCCACTGTATTAAAAGGCGATTACACGCGACTATTTTTAAACAAAATAATGACTTTTTTATAGCACTGGTACCTAACATTTCTTCATTTACTGGGCGTACATGTGATTGCCGATCTATTGTGAATGGTCTGCGATAGAGTATGAGCATCTCAGTGCAGTGGGATCAGCTACACTGCGGTTTATCAGCGGAATCGGATTCAGTTCGTCCGCATCGCTGCTACTAATTAGTTCGTCAATTTAAAACGCTCGCGAAATGTTCGTTGTTTGTCAGAGCTTTTGATGATATCTCCATCCATCGGCGTGTGAACTTGAATAGAGTTTTTTTAACTTTCAAATCCCTTGACCCACACATTTTACCGGATTATATTAACGTCACAAAATGATATATGAAACATCGTATGATACCGGCACCAAGCCCTTTTCCCCCGATCTGAAGCGAGGAAAGTGGGAAAAACCCACTGACTATATATTCGCCTGCTTTGGATTGGCACTTAAACTGGATATATTTGTGGCCTCGTATTGGTTCTTCTTCGATTTGGGCAGTAAGTATTAAAAACAGAGACTTTTAGCTATACATAGGTACTTTTACTATCTGCATTCCAGTTCCAAGGTTAGCCTATTCATTTCAGGGGCGTTGATTTGAAAATGTGCATTTCCTACGCTCTGAACAGATAAGAATAATAAATATAATATAACTAATGCAAATATCGAGTATTATTAAGACCAAAGATGTAGTTTTCTTGATACACAGTTTCTTGCCTTCTTTAGTTTTTGGGATGATGCCGTACCTGTTTTACATGGTGATATACTTGGTTCCAATCATGGTCATTCATTCCTTCATGGGTCAGTTCTCCAGCAGTGGGTTCATCTCCGCCTTCCGGGTGTCACCGTTTTTTAAAGGTTTGCTAAAAGGTGGAAATTAGAGAATTTATAACTGGCTGAATGTTTATTTTGTATTTCAGGGATGGGATACGTAAGCGTTTTCCTGACCATCTCCATGTTGATTTACTACAGCGTATTTGCTGCTGTTCCTCTGCTCTTCATGATAAACTCCTTCCAACCCACTTTACCTTGGAGCTGTGAAGGCCTTAAGTCGTGGTACAATGAATCCGCGGAAAATCCTACAGTAAGAAATGAATAAATGAAAAAGTAATATAAGCAGTTTATTTTTACTTTCAGGTATGTAATATGACAAAAAGTACGGATGATATGAGTACACTCCAAAACGAAACGCACGTCCTTTTAACGATGGTTCATGTACCTTCGGTACTCTACTTTCAGTAAGTAAGAGCCTATGTTTATACTGTTAACTGTGATATATTCGTGATCAGCAACATCCTATATTTAACATATAAGCATTTTGCAAGGAAGTGTTACGAAAGTTATCAGATGATCGATTTAAATTCTTTTACTTTCTTATCAAATATTGTATATTTTCAGATACCACTTTGAAACCATTGATGAGGAAAATTATCCAGATTTGACTCAAGATTATGAGCTTTCCTGGCGATTTGTGGGCCTCTTTTTTCTAGTTTGGACAATGGTTGCATTCATTTTTTATAAATTCTCGGAGACGGCGAAGTTTGGGAAATTTTTACGTTACATGGTTATTGGGACACTGGTTCTTCTCTTGACGTGCTTTGTTCGATTCCTTTTCCTTCCAGGAGCCCTTTTAGGGCTAAAGAATTTCATGAGTCCGAGTCTAGAAGATATGATCATGGGAGTTTCCTCGACATTTATCATGGTCTTGCACGCATTCGGAGCTGGCTGGGGAAGTGTTATAGCCCTGTCCAGTTTCAACGGGTTCAAGACCGACATCATGTCGTATAGTTGGATTATTTCCTTCGGACAAATTTTTATTTTTACAATGTTTGGATTGGTTTCCTATATGCTGGATCACTACTACAGTGGTAAGCCCTATATTTTTTGTTCATAATAGTCTGCAAAACCAGCTACTATCCTAAAAAAACTTTAGGCTGTAGTTTCGGCCTATTCACGAAATATAAAATACAGTTCACCCATTTAAAGGACTTGTAACATTTGTCTTTCAGAACTTAGAGAAGGTTCTTTCGATTTACAAATATTCAACCATTGGGTTCTGTATTTGTGCAGTGCTACCGCCTTGTCTACTTTGGGCTGGCCGAACCTATGGACTTTTATTTATTATACTATGTTGTTGATGGCTGGTCTTATTGTGATAGTAAGTATATTTTGTCTGAAAAATGGTTTAGTAACCAAAAGAACAAATACTTTGTGTTTATTTCTAAAAATGGCGTTAGTTATTTATTACGGTTCATTAGAAATATACCTTTTATTAAATGACCATTTTAAGAATATTCTATTGAACACTGGTAATGGACTGAAACGAATTATTTGTTTTTTTTTTTCAGACAACGCAGATCTTCACCGTCTTGCAAAGTTTGTTTGATGAGTTTGAAATACTTAGGGTGAGAAAACAGGAGGTAACCTTTGGCCTAATTGGGGGCATTGCAATTTGCTCCTTTTACTTTTGCACAAATGTAAGTAGTTATATCAACATTGATTAAGTTTGTAGGAAATCTTTTATAATGCCTTAAGTATGATTGTGATTTTAATTATATTTCTTATTGTATACATATATCTGTTTTTAGCATGGCATTACTTTCTTTTCTGCCCTGAGTCTTGATGCCATCTTTTCACATAGTCTTCTGCATTTGCTGCTCATTTTGGTGGTTTTATGGATCTATGGTCGAGAACGTTTCCAGCGGGATATTGAGTTCATGTTGGGCCAGCCCTTTGCCTCCTGGAAGGTCTTCATACTCCGCTTCATAGCTCCAATAATTTTAATTATTTGTCTGGTACGTTATAGACTTTTAGTTTCTTATATTCTTTAATTTCTTCCTTTTTCGCTCTATTAGCTATCAGGAATAGGTATGTGCGTCATGGAGCACTCTTTCTCCTCAGCAATCGTCCTTGTAATGTCCATTATATTCGTGATTTTACCCATTCTGACCATTCCTGGGTATGGAATTTACTTCCTATACCTTAACACTGGCACCTTTTGCCAACGCTTTAAGCGCTCCTGCCGACCCACCGATTGGTATCCGGTTGAGATGGAGCACCGCCAGCAGTACGAGGAAGCTATAAACAATGCGGATATGACCCAACAGCTTACTGCCGTGCCAAACTAAGGTCTTCCATCAAGCATAACTCTTATATTTTGCCGAATAAAAATAGTGCTTTTAAATTATATTTTAATGTTTTAAAATAATGCGGCAACGAGGGTTCGGGTGTTTTCGCGATTCGTGGGCGTAAGAGTCGGCGTCAACATGTTTTTTGCATATCGATAGAAATTGAAAAGAATGCTATAGTCGAGTTTCCCGACTATCAGATACCCGTTACTCAGCTTGTGGAAATGCGAACGAGAAATTTCATAATTTTCTGGAATATCTGGAAAAATTGCAAATAAAATTAAAAAGTGAAAAAAAAAAATTTCAAAAATGTGGTGCGACAGTTTTGGGCGCTTTGTGGGCGTGGAAAAACGATTTTTTGCAAATCAATAGAAATTTACAAGACTAATAAAAAGTGTAAAAATATCCAAACATTTTTAACCATGTGGGCGTGGCAGTTTTGGGCGGCTTGTGGGCGGTGGCTTGGCAAAAAAAATCTATGGAAATTTACAAGACTAATAAAATAATTAAAAATATCACATATTTTAAAAAAATTGGGCGTGCCAGTTTTGGGCGGTTTGTTGGTGGTAGAATGGGTGTGGCAATATTTGGAAAAAAACTTGCGCTGCGTCTAAGTCTCTGGAAAATTCATGCTTAATCTCAACATTCTAGCTTCTGTAGTTCCTGAGATCGAGGCGTTCATACGCACAGACGGACGGACGGACGGACGGACGGACAGGCGGTTGAAGTAACCAGTGCCTCATTTCCATTTTATAACGCTCGAGAATAGTTTCCATAAATCCTGTATATTAGTACACCAATTAGCGTGCGGAATCAAATCGATTTTCAATTGCACACAACATGGTATACGTATCAAAGCTCAAAACCTTTTCTATTGACCTTAATCTCGGAAACTGGGAAAAACCCACGGACTATATTTTTGCCTGCTTAGGATTAGCCCTGAAACAAAATATTTTTGTGGCCTCGTATTGGTTCTTTTTGTTTAAATATGTGCAGTAAGTAAACCAAACATATGCAACTTGAACTATTATCTGTGAATATTAAAGGCCGAATAGCTCAGGGTTTATCATCTTCATATTAGGGGCGTTGTGGTGCCAGTTGCATGCCCCAACGGATTAACTAACTTTTGTGCACTCTTAATAGTTTTTGGAACGCTGCCGTACCATGTGTATATTGTGGTCTACTTGGTTCCAATTATGATCATTCATTCCGACATGGGCCAGTTCTCCAGCAGTGAATTCATTTCCGCATTTCGCCTGTCTCCTTTTTTTTAAAGGTACGTTATCAATAAGCGGCGATAAACACTTTAACTTACTGAATATTATATTTTAGGCATGGGTCATGTAAACATTTTCTTGTCCTGCGAAGTGAAGTTTATGTCATTTGTTTATATTTTAAATATAATGTAAAAATAAAACGCTCTTCCATTAAGATGTGTAACACGACGATAGCTCGGATGCTCAAAACGAGAAAGAAAAATGTATGTTCACAACAATAATTCCTGTCCCATCCGTTATCTACTTTCTCTACTACTCTATTTGGAACTATTTAATTTGTACAAATTTATTTAATATTATTTAATATTTAATTTTGTACATATAAGGTGTTGGAAATTGATATTTGCTTAGGGCAACACTCTTATTCCTCGACAGTTATCCACGTTATTGCCATTATACTAGTGGGCTTACCCGTTCTGGCAATACCTGGCTACGGATTTTACTATTTTCATCAAGAATTTTTTTTTTTCTATCCGAATGAGATAGAATAACGCCAGCAGTACGGAGAACTTGTCTACAACCCCGAGATGACCCACTGGCTTTTCGATGGCACCGCGGAGGTTAACTAAATAGTAATCCAATTGCCGATGTACATGATATTTAAAATATATACTATATGTTTTGTTATTGACAGAATATTTTATTCTGGATGCGAATTTATTTTACTGGATAATTTTCATTTCTAAGGCACTTTATAGAAATGTTTTCTATTTGTTTACCTGTAACTCGTAGATTAAAAGGGGTATACTAGATTCGTTGAAAAGTATGTAACACATAGAAGATATATAAAATATATATATTCTTTATCAGGATCAATAGCCGAGTCGATCTGGCTATGTCCCTCTGTCCGTCCGTCTATCTGTCCGTCCGTATGAACGTCGAGATCTGGGAAACTATAAAAGTTAGAATAGTGAAACTAGGCATGCAGATTCCAGAGATTATTATGCTTCCCACTTTGACGACCACAAACCGCCCAAAACTGCCACGCCCATACTTTTTAAAAACTGTTAATTTTTTTCCATTTTCTTATTTGTTCTCCAATTTCTACCGATATTCCAGAAAATGTTGGGATCTCGTTCGCACTTCCACTAGCTGATTAACGGGTAGCTGATAGTCGGGGATCTCGACTATAGCGGTTAGTACTTGACTGAAGACCAGCAATGCATTTCAGTCCGGGATACGAGCTCAAACAGCGCAGTCAAACCAGTTCAGTCCGCGGTCATCAGTTTACAAGTTGGACTCTAAATTTATATTTATATAGCCTATGACATTGTGTTTAAATTTCGAAAGATCGTAAGCGAAGACCTTTTCCGAAGTCGCACGAAAGTTGATAGAGTGCATTTGTCGGCGAAGCGCCAGTAGAGAAATTTGCTGAGCCGTGCGGACCACTGATTTATATGGTCAATTGAATAATATAAATTTGAATATTTTATAATAACCCCATTGTGGTGCAATCTCGCACGTGCCTACGGAGACAAAATATTTAAGAATCCCCCTTCGGATTCATTTATTGCTGTGATATCGAGGTCGCAACATGGTTTATGAAACGTCATATGCTTCTGGGACGAAGCCCTTTTCTCCAGATCCTAAGCGAGGAAAATGGGAAAAACCTACCGATTACATATTTGCCTGTTTTGGATTAGCCTTAAAGTTGGATATCTTTGAGATCTCGTACCAATACTTTTTTAATATTGGTTGTAAGTAAAAAATGGGGCACAAAGCACAAAGAAGTGCTTAATGCATTTATGGGCGTTTCGTTGCAAGTGCAATTTTTAATGGCGAATTTCACATTGGACGATGATGACTCACTTGAATAATAGAATCGCGGAAACTATACCAAAAACAACAACAATATTTTTTAAAACATTTCATTTGGTCCCATTTCAGTTGTTGGCATGCTACCGTATTTTTTGTATATGGTGATCTACTTGGTTCCAATCCTGGTCGTTCATTCCTACATGGGACAGTTCTCCAGCAGTGGTTTCATCACCGCCTTTCGCTTGAGTCCTCTTTTCAAGGGTATGCCACTTAGAAGCCAGAGCAAGAACGTCCTTCAATTTAAATTTAATTTTAGGCATGGGCTATGTAAGCCTTTTCCTGACCTTCAGCACGCTAATTTATTACAGCCGGTTTGCTGCCGTACCACTTCTCTTCATAATAAATTCCTTTCGACCCACTTTGCCTTGGAGTTGCGAAGGAGCAAAGTCTTGGTACATTCCGAGCGCTGAAACTACAACAGTAAAAATTTTGCTCGAAAAATGTCAACCAGCTAATTAAACTCTTTTTCCGGTAATTACAGCTTTGTGATCCGGAAATATACAAAATGCATGAAAACTACTCCTTAGTGATTTTAACACCATCGTATCTTTATTTTAAGTAAGTATATATTTTTCAATCTCCCAGAATTCTGGCAAGCCAAGTATAATGTCCATTTATGAGTCGTTTTTATTAATTGTTATATTTTTTATGTCTACAGCTACATTCGTCATCCTGATTTTAACATAACTGAAGGCTTTGAGCTATCATGGCCTTTAGTCGGACTATTTACACTAGCTTGGACTTTGATTGGAATTATTTTTTACAAGTTCTCGGAGCCGGCAAAGTTTGGAAAGTGTATTCGTTACATGGTTATTGCGACCGTGGTTCTAGTTTTAGTGTGCTTTGTGCGCTTCCTATTTCTTCCTGGAACCCATTTGCGGCTGTGGAGGTATATAACTCCAAGGACAAAAGATTTTTCAGAAGGACTTTCTTCGACATATGTAATGGCGCTTCAAGCCTTTGGAGCTGGCTGGGGTAGTGTAATAGCCCTGTCCAGTTTTAATGGGTTCAAGACTAACATCATGTCGTATAGTTGGATTATTTCTTTCGGGCAGATCTTCATTTACATTATGTTTGGCTTGGTTTCCTTTATGTTGGAAGAATATTTTAGAGGTAAGACCATTCTATTACTAATCCTCAATATTAGTAAGTATAGAAAAAACACCTTCTTGCTCTTACACTAAAAACATTTTAATGTATCATAATTTTAGAAATTACCAGAACTATTATTTTCCACAATATCATAAATTTTGGTGTGCTGATAACGGGTAGTGGAAGTGCCTTGATCACTTTGGCCTGGCCGAACTTTTGGACGATTATTTTCCATACTATGATGCTATTGACTGCTCTTACTGTCATTGTAAGTAAATGTTATTTAGTATTGTAGAAATTTATTTTATAAGTTAGTCTTCAATTTCTCTGTATTCATTTTGCAGGCAACTCAACTTTTCACAGTGCTGCAAAGTTTATTTGACGAGTTCGAAAAGCTTAAAGAAAAAAAACAGGAAGTAACTTTTGGCGTAATTTGTGGTCTTGCATTTTGTTCCTGTTTCTTTTGCACCGTAGTAAGTATTTATTTTAACAAAATTGCTTCAAGCCCCAACAACTTTCAAATTCATAATTTCCTAGCACGGCAGTTTTTACTTTGGCGTTATCGGTACTGATATCATTATGGCACACAGTGTGCTGCACTTACTGCTTCTTTTGGTGGTTTTGTGGATTTATGGCCAAAAACGCTTCCAACGGGATATTGAATTTATGCTGGGCCAGCCCTTTGCCTACTGGAAGGTTTTTATACTCCGCTATACAGCTCCAATAGTATTTGTGATATTGATGGTTTGTTATGGACTTTTCATTTTTATTGATATTTTATTAATGATTGACTGACTAGGTATACGGCATAAAAGAAATCATGTATTCTCACTTCTACTACCGTGAAGTGTTCTTTGCACTGGCGATTATACTTGTGGGGCTACCCTTTCTGGCAATACCTGGTTATGGATTCTACTACCTAAAAAATAGCACTGGAACCTTTTCCGAGCGCCTAAAACGCGCATGTCGACCCACGGATTGGTATCCGTCTGAGATGAAACACCGTCAGCACTACGGGGACCTTATAGGCCACATTGAGATGACCGACCATCTATTCGATGGTACCGAAGAGGTGAACTAGAGGACATTTGGCAATAAATGCATGTATAAATAAAATATTTATTGGGAATATACTATGGATTGTAAATAAGATTGAATGTTTGATTCTTGTTCTCTCCAAATATCTGTCAACCTGACCTTACTTGGCTCAAATAGACTATTGTATTTTCTATTTGTACCCTGGTAAAGTGAACGAGTCTTTAAGACCAATCGCATTAAACAATATATTTAATCTTCATGCGTAAAAATGTTGTAAATTTGTTACAAATAAAAAATGTACATACATATATGTACATATATACTCGTATATATATTACTATTCTACTTGGAGCTCTCCATGTCCGTGTCAGACATAAATCCCGGCATTTGGCGTTGCTTTCGGAACGCCTCGTAATCGGCACGATCTTGCGGATCCGCCGGAGTCCAGTCCAAAGGCTTGAGGCGTTTCTTCAGGCTGTCACATAGTGTGGCCCGCTTACGGATCATGATGTAGAGTATGTAGAGCGGTATCCACATAACTGATGTTAAGCAACTAGCCCAGCCGATTATAATGGCCCACAGGGGGTATGGGATGTTGTTATAGGTGATTGTCCTCATGAATACAATGCTAGTTATAAGAATAAACTGAAAGTGGGATGATAGGCTTAGGTGACATTCAAGGGCTAATTTTGTCGGTCAAAATAAGAGTGAAAGCTTCTTACAATTATAATTACGGGTGTGACTATCTGCCACAAGATTCTCCAATATAGACTTGGGCGTTTTCCGAGCATAAACTCGACGTCCAACATGAAATTTTTAATGCCATAAATCCATGCGACCATAATAATCTCCACCAGACAAATCACAATTACGGCTATCGACGAGGAGTACCAGTCAAACAGCTGAAGAATATACATGCCTCCCTGAAATTAGTGGTTAAGAAATGATTACAGGACAGATGTTTCTGAATTAACTCACATTTGTACACATTATGGAGGAGAATACCAGGAAGACTAGGCAGGAAATAAGCGTCAATTTCCACTTGTGACTCCTCACCCAATACCACTCATCCAATATTGATGTCATGATAGCCTCCAGTTGTACAAACTTCGGATGGGAACAGCGTTGGCAGAATTTTATTAGATTCATAAAATAACTCTGAAGCAACTTTAACTTACCACGCTGTCGATGCCCAGCAAAAAGAGCATAAAGAAAAACATGAGCGCCCAGAGCTGCGGGATGGGCAGCATGGCAATGGCCTCCGGATACGTGACGAAGGCCAGTCCAGCTCCTCCGGTGGCCACGGTTTCCACGGGAATGCCCGATTTTTCTTTAAATTAGCAACCGCTGTACAAACGCAACTGAGAGCAAACGATGAAAATACGCTTACCAGAGAGAAAACCCAACACGGAAAAGACCACAAATCCGGCAAGTATGCTGGTGAACACGTTGATCGCTACTATGAGAACGGAGTCGCACCTGGCGTTATTCCGGAAGTTACTGAAACTGGCCATGTTGACGATACCACCCCAGCCGGGACCTATGCCGAAGAACATTTGGATGGCGGCATCGGCCCAGACTTTGAGGTCCAGCAGGCGATGCCACTCCGGATACAGGTAGAACTTAATGCCGTTCCAGGCTCCGGGCAAAGTGGCTCCTCTGACCAGCAGAATAAAGAGCAGCAAGTAGGGGAAGGGTACCGTGAAGTAGACGACCTTGCCGACCTGAAGCTCATGGGCTAGAGCATTATGAATCTTAACGTGGTCTGCATAACATACCGACTTGATTCCCCTCATCAGGCAGAAGTATATAATGATCCAGGTGACAATCAAGGCAATTAGTTGCTCCCACACCATGCCGCCCAATTCAGAGATGTCTTTCGAGATTCTAAGGACTTCCAAACTGCAAAAAGTAATTTTAATATATGATATATTAATTGCCGATGGGTGAGTGAAACAGATGTAGCACTTACTGAAAGAACTCATCGGCGGAAGTTGTAAAGCCATCAGTATTGTTTTGCTTGCCCATCTGAGAACCGACAGTCCGATTAATAGGGATAATTATTGTAATAAACTAGCTCACGTCAGAAGCGGTCACACAGCTGTCGGTATTCCAAGAATTATCACAGTCCTCCCAGGGTACCTTCTTGAAGAAGCAGTAGAAGATCATGCGGACGGGGTACGATATGATCACCGAGTAGTAGCACACGCAGTAGGCATTGACCACCACCTGAGCGAACCCCGTTCCCTTCAGCAGCGGCGCCATGCGAAACATGCCAGTGCATCCGGTGCTCGAGAACTGGCCGATCAGGACCTCCATGTAAAACAGGGGTATGCCGGCCAAAAGGACCATCAATATGTAGGGGATCAGAAAGGCGGCTAAAAGGGCGGCAAGTCATGTACTAATTAAAAGCACTTAACAAATCGCTTTTATTCATCATTTTAAATTATTCTAGCAGCTCATAATTTGAATTATCTGTTAGCGCTTGATCAATAAAAAAAAACTATTATTCAGTTTTCACTGAATTTCTTTCTAAGCGATTTACCGGTAAATTAAAATGATTGCCCCTGCAAAAGAGAGAGAGAGCTGCGACAAAAAAAAAGAAAGTGACCTTAAAAAATATCCTTCGAGCCGGATTTGAACCAGCGACCTATGGATTTCAACATATCGCGATTCAGTAACTGATGATACAAGAGCAAGCGCTATCTGGAGCCGGGGTATTGTTTGCCCCAGAGTCCTGCCTCTGCTCGCACCACCAAGTCTCGGAAACTCTACAGTCCACCGCTCTACCAACTGAGCTATCGAAGGCGTCGCTGTTCAGTTGGCCAAATGGCCCTCATGAGCGCTGGAGCTTTGCCAGCTTTCACTCGAAAGCTAAAGCCTAAAAATAACCACCGCCACTCAGTGCAGCACTCTCGTTCGCTGACGTCAGTGCTGCGCTATTTTGGGAGCGGCAAGAGCTTGAGCTCACCCATCGATTTGCTGGACCCAGCTGGGTGGGTGGTTCGGTTCGGTTGGGCGAACAGGTGGCTGAGTGGGCGAGTGGATGACTGGGTGACTGGGTGACTTGGTGACTTACCGCCGCCGCTGCGGTAGCAGAGATAGGGAAAGCGCCACACATTGCCAATGCCAATGGCATATCCGAGGAGCGAGAGGATGAACTCCGACTTGGAGTTCCACTGGCCACGGTTCTCGTCCCGCTCGATGCGCTTGTCCTTACGCGAAGCCGTCGTCGTCGGGGGCTGTGTATTCGCCATGGTCACTCAAGGCTGTACTTCGAATTTACCATACTGAACTAAAGCCAATTGGGGATTGAGAATTTATAGACCTATTTTCACACTACTTATTTGATGCTGTCAAAAACAAACGAGCGAGTGAACGTGAACTTGTGAGTTATTTCTGTCAAGAGAAACAAGTCGAAACACTCGAGTACAACAGAGCGTATGAGTTTTTCATGGCAGGAGGTAACTATTGCATTTCCCGATAGCAAGAAGGGCCCACAGCAATTGGTAAAGCTTGCTTTTCCACACTTAAACGGTGTGTTCTGGTTTTAGTAAACGTTGTAACACTTTATTGGCAACACTTTAGCATCGTTAGATGTACTTAGATCAGGTTTAGTTCACGGCATACATTAGGCTAGCTTAGGGACTATGTGAGTGGGTGTGTTAAAGCTTCGGTTTCCATGTTGGTTCCACTTTACGTGGCGGTAACAGTGTGGTCTAACAGCTAAGGGATTTCAAAAGGACAGTCAGAACCAAAACCACCGCTACCAATGGAACGGCTCTGAGATTCGCCCCTGAACTATGACCCGCAATCGCCGTGTAGTCATCAGGTCGCTTGGACTCCCGCTTTTCGGCCTTTTCGCATAGGTCGCCGCAGTTGGCGTGCTCGCAAATGTCACATATATTGGATTTGGGTGCCCTGTAGAACTGCCTGGCGCGGCGAGCTGGATTTCAAGGGTAAATTGATTAATTAATCATGAGTTAATGGTATTTGTTCAAATCGTCCAGCTTACCGCTGTCATAGTAGTCGTACATGACCACTGCCACCGGTCGGTGTTTGGTGACCTTGACCGTCTTGTAGGCGTGCAGGGTGGGGCAGACCTCCCTTCTGTCCAGGTAGTCAAAGTAGATGACCACCTTGGTGTTCCTGTTCTGGGTCTCCACCTTCTTGATGCGCTCACTCGACTCCAGAGTGGGAAGTGTATCCCTGTCCACGACAAAGCCACTGGGCAGGTGCACCTCCATCACGGCCATGTTGGAGCGCTGCTCGTCCTCGCCCACCACGGAAACAAAGCTGGCACAGGCCGAAAGATGTAGGTAGTCCGCATGGGAGTTCCGATTTACTGTGGGATCGAGTACGAATCGTGGCCAGGCGCTGGTCACGTTCGTGTTATAGGTGTAGCTGACTTGGGCCAACGCCATTCCCCGACCAGTGGCCGAAACACTTAAGTTTTTGAGGTTGTTTGGTAGCTAGAAATCAAATATAAGCCAATTAAATATAAGTCCAGTGTAGTTAATCTAAAGTTAAGCGCTTACCTCCACTGTTTGCAGGGCTAGTGAGTTTTCAGCATTCACATTAATTATCGTTTCAGCACCTTCTCCATAATGAAAGCCGATTTGGAGATTATTGGCCTGACTGGAAAAGCGTTCGGCAAACATGAGAAGCGCTTGGAGGCCAGCCACAGTGTCCTGCGACGCCACAAAACCGCCTTTGGGATTTCGCTGATCCATCAGCCAGTTCAAGATGGGCAGGGCATCGCTCACCAAGTTGTTTTCCAGTAGAGCCAGGGCGGCATAAGCCGAGATCTCGATGTTGACACTACGAGTGGCATTGTACCAGGGGGACTGCTGTTCCCCAGCGGGTGCCGTTTTATTCCACCACTTGAGGCCATCTGGATGATAGTTACGCTATTATTGAAGTACTTTAATAACTGTAATTAATTATCTTGCCCTTGTTGGTGGCCATTGAGTCTAACCGCTGGAGAAAAGCTGCCTTGGCATTGTGATTAGCTCGGGAGAGCACGTAAGTGCCAATGGCCATGGCGTGAAGGTTAGTTGATCCATCCAAGCCTCTGGTGATGAAGTCCAGGGCTTTGTTGATGTTGTTTCGATATTCGGGATACAGATCCTAGACCATATCAATGAAATACCATTCCTTTATCGTTGCGCCGTTGCACTTACCACATTTTCCATTAGAGCCAGGGTCACAAATGCAGTCAGACTGATGCCATCGTCCCCAAATCTCTCGAAGACGTCGCCACGCTCCTCGAAGCCACCGTTT